GTGTATCCCCTCGCTATCATCATTTCTGGGCCTGTCCGGTGGCACAGGCAATAGCAGACCAACTTACTCTTTCAATAGGATTGCCAGTCTCAAGGGAGCAACTTTGGCTTATCCAAGCCCCACAATCAGTGCAACAATGTGTTTGGGATGTTGTGGCTCTTGCTGCGGTGTCAGCCATGGAGCATGGGAGACGTTATATGGCTGCAAACATGAAAACCAACCCGGCACTGTTACCTGGTCCTTCCCTTACGGAAGAAGCAATTTGTCGAGTTATTGTTGATTTTTGGGGCCGCATTCAGGGTTTCGCAGCTTTAGGAATTCCACGAAAAGGTTGGGAATCCGTTGGCGCACATCACCCCTTTTTGAGGATTATATCTGGCAAATTGATTTGTTCGCGAGAGCGGTTACCGATGAGAGGTTAATTATCTGAGATGATAATCTTTTGGTATATTAGTCTCTACTGCAGTGCACGGCCAGCTGGCCCGATGGCTCTACTCTTCGGGAGTCTGGAGCCCACTGTAACAACCACACACACACGAACTCCTGCAGCTATGTATGTACAAGCCTGGTGATAATTTTCGCCATAGAAACGATACTTATACTGTTCTGTTCCTAGATAATGCTGGCTTGCCTTGGGTGATGGGGCGTAGCCGCGGAGCTTCAGCTGGGCGCGGTGGCACCTCGCGAATCGTATGTGAACACAATTCAGAAAGCCGCCCCGAATCGGACTCCCAATCAGACTCTCAATTGGACTACATGTGAACACACCCTTAGTTTTACGGGTCACGTACCTGCCGTACATGCGTGTGGCGGTGGAAAAAATTCAGGAATATAGTTATACTTGTGAGCCATTTCAAAATCGTCGCTTTTCACAGGCGTTGTGTTCTACACACAAGCACAAGTTTGGTGTGCACAGTCTGTCTCGGTTCTGAAAGTTGTATTCACATCAAATAGGTATCTCACCCCAGCAGCGGGTTTGTCGTTGAGAGAGAGAGAGAGAGCGCTACTGCTTTACCAGCGCCACAAGCACGCGAAGGCCATTTTGATATGTACGATAGTCGGTATCGTACCTGCTGATATCCGTGTGTAGACGACGTTATTTTCGTCTCGGTCATCGATGTCCGATATCGTCCGACACGATATCGTCCGACGGAACCTGCCTTAAGTTCTTCTGACTCAGCGGGGATTGGATGGATCGAACTGAGGATCCATTTCCGTCTTCCTAGGTTGCGCATATTCTTTTGCAAAGTTTGTAAGGATTAGTAATGCTTGAATCATCGTAGTCTCTTGTGTTTTCGCACGCGTAATGTCTCGCATCTCTCAGCGATGCCGAGACAACCTGGACATGCCCGGTAGGTGAATAAAATGCGCAGTGTTTCGGCCCGGTCAGGGTTAGAGACGGGGCGTGCCGCCCACAGTGTAACATCCCATCAGCAAAAAAAATTGACTCTTACAGTGCTCGTTAGTGTTCGCCTACGGAAATGCCTGTAGTTCCACACACGGTAAAGCTTTAATGATGAACGGGACCCCGTCGCTTTATGGCGGTTCTGAAAACAAACTTCCTTTCGGCTATTGCCGGGCGCCAACAGGGAAACCCCTGCGTCAAGCGCAAACCGAACAGTATGCCGTACTGATCCGAAAGCCAGAACGCACATCCTTCATCACGTTCTTGCTCCAGCGTGTAGCCAAATTACAATGTCATAGTTTAGCGTTGTAGGTCGCGTCGGGAATTGCAAGATAGGGACTCTGGGAAATTGTCGCGTCAACACCAAGTGTACTTTGACGTACTGGTCCGCGGACAGCCTCGTTTCCGCCCATCCCAGACGAGCTTTACAACGCGGTGTATGAATCTACAAGCAGATGCATGTGTAGAGATCTTATGCAAACAACTCACGGTATGCATCTTGGGCGGTTTCGGTACTGCGCCGGTGGTTTTCACCGGTGGAAGGTGTGCCAGAAGGTGCCATAGAAGCAGCGCGCGGGACGTTTGTTGTAAAGTTGGGCCTCCACGAGGCCCCTCAAGCCCTGATAAAACATCGCGCACTCGACACACGCGTTTGTGTTACAGTGAGCCGTGCGGTGGCACGCTCGCAGGGAGTTTCCACCCGTACAGAATCTCAACCGGCCACGAGGTTTGACGGTTTGACGGTTTTTGCCGATGCAGGAAGTTGCCGAAGTCTGCGTGTGACTTTTAAATAGTGTGCTCCAAAGCTCGTGTGCAGCGAGTCGGCTGGAGCTGCGTGCCGACTTTTGGACCACCAACATTTCACCTTATGGGGCAATACAACCTTCCATTATCTTTCCCAGCTTATGTTGCGGAATTATATTAAGGCGCGCCTTGCAGCTGCAAAGTGCTGGGGTACCATGAAAGCAGAAAGGGTCACCATTGTTTTGCTCCTTCGGTTTTTTTATGATTATGGTTTTCTTAAGGGGAGAGACCCTTGTGGCTACCATCCGGCCTACCAGTATCACCTGTACGGAAAAGAGCGGGAAAATAGGGTTTTGCACTGTGCAGCTCCATTGGCATATCTAGTAACCTTAAAGGAGATACAGATAACCTTCTACAAGGTTAACAATAAATTTTCAGGTATATTGTCTTGCACATTTGTATACATAGTATCGGAATGCAAACTGCACAAGGGTACCGTCTGTAAGAACATAAAATCAGGAAGCTTCAAGTTTTCAACAGTTCCATACAGGACCTCAAATGACGCCTGTGCCGAGCGATGTGGCTAGCGGCCTCGGGAATAGTATCACGGCTTCCGATGCCACTGATGTTCCTGGGGATTTTGCGGAACAAATGGCCATTAAGACAGAGTACTTAACAAGAGTGGATGCAGCCCTTTCAGCTTCTGCTGAGGCGACCGGACCGGAAGTCATGGAACCCCTGCCGCCGCCTCCAGCGAATCTTGCTGGGACAAGCAGCGCATCTGGAAAGAGTTATCGCGTCACCGTTAGCAACAAGGCTGGATACCTCTGTCACGTCCACGTGGAGGCCAACTGGCCTGTCACGCCTGAAGTTACGTTCGCTATCTTCACACACCCAGGTGTGTGCGCTGCGCCGGAACCCATCTGCGTATCGAGCGTGAGCTGTCAAGGGGCGTATGATCATCGCCAGCAGCCAATGTGTTGACAGGAGCCTCTCCTTGTCTGCCCACTGCTCCTCCCTCCTCATACTCCTGGCCGTTTCCATTTAAAATTGTGGATGGCCTTGTACTATCACCCTTGCTGTCCACCCTCGCTACCACCAGATCACCGGCACATCAGCTCACCGATGGCTATCCTTGCCCGTCGACCCTTTAATAACATGGGCCTTGCAGATAACTCGGCGCTCTTTCGCGACGTCAAACGAGTTGGTGCTCGCAGGGTCCTCAAGGCCGAGCCGGGGTACAAGGAGGTTGAGGTACGACAACTTTTGCTCAACATGTCCACACTGCGTGCATGAACATCATCATCATCATCATCATTATCATCATCATTATCATCATCATTATCATCATCGTGAAAGCGGTCATGCATGTCCGTGCTCTGAAAAGTGGGGACGCGTCCACCTGCATGTATGCGAGGATGCATCTACCTATCGCAGAACAATCAATTACGTTCCGTCACAATCATTGCTGGGCACACTTCCGCTTTTTCGTTATTTAGAATATGCTCCCTATAAACATGCACCACGTGCAGGACGTCACCTTTTGGCATGACCCAAATCGGATCTATACTTTACCCAGTTGTTCGACTTGGGTTTATGTTCCGCTTCCTGGGCCGCTGACCCCGCTGGGTTGGTTGTGCTGTTGTGCCTTTTGGCCCGTGTACACACACGCCCATTGCGGCTTGCTTGGTGGCCACGTGGTTTTCCAGTTCAAACCACGCAGATCGTTGCTAACTGACATGACTTCCTTGCCACGTGTTTACCCAATTCATCAATGGCCACCCCGGCGGGTTCGCCTCATATTCATCAGGTGGAGCAACTTGGCGACATCAAAGTGCTATGGATGCACAGAACATACAGCACGTGGCTTCGTGTGGTTGAAGATTCACGCGACCCGGAGTGCTTGCGCATTGCCTTTGACTTGTTGAAGAGCGTGAGTAGGGGACGTAAGACAGCGCCTTTGCATAACGGTGTGCGGACGTAGCCGCATGGGGAGCTGTTAGTGGGTACACCTGCAGTAAACCTCCTGCTTGCTTTTTGAAATGTTGCGCTTCCACGTTACGGTGCTATACGAGGGCTGCCTTGTTGAGATTGCACTCCTACTTGGACGCCGTCGAGGAAGGGATGCGAAAGGTCGCGAATGAAATTCGCTGTGCATGTATAGCTACAGCCCATGATGCGTTAATTTCTCATGAATGTAAGGGCGGTCATGAGTGCGGGTGCAGCATGCCGTTGTATGCACTGTTGAGGAAAATTAGGAAACCCACATCATGCATCCCCTGTTGCCGCCCTGTTCAAGTGGGAGAGGCAAAGGAAAGGATGGCCTGTATGTATGTATGTCTCCTCCTCGTGTTTTCCGCTTCCCGAGACCAGCACCCTCCCGGGATGCCTGTTGTATCCCTCTTTGTATCCCGCTGTTTTGAAAACGCCGGCGTGATGTGGGACCAGAGTGCCGTGAATGCATGAGGCGGTAGTTAGGTTAGGTGACAGTGAGGTGGTTAACTACCTAACTACTTATTGATTTCAGCGCTATGTGCTATGCGCTCCTCGTCCCTGCAGGATGTCCTCGGCAAATTCAGCGGTCGCTGGGAGCTGCGTCCGGTTCGCGACCCCGTCAGTGGACTGGTGGTGGGCTGCCAGGGGGAGCTTCATCAGGACGTACTGCCAAGGGGTACGAACATCCGTACATGGCGTACACGTGTTTTCCCTTTGTGGCTTACGTCTCCGTCGGTCGTCACCTTGCACTCCCCTGCACATTCATAATGCTTGCTCTTGCGTTTTGAAAATACAGCCTGTCTGTAGGTGCGTGGAAAAGCGGTATGTGGGTGCATGCCCGTGAAGGAATCTCATTCAGACTCTTGTCGGGTATCCTCCTCCAGCCGTGGTTGTTTTATTGCTTGGTAGGATGCCAAGAAGAGCTGGCTTTGTTCAATCCTACCTTGCCCCGGGACGGCAGAACTGATTTGGGTTGCGGGATAACGGGATCATCCCGCGTATCTGAACAGTCGCGGCGAAGGCCTTGATGCGCCACTGTGGCTTCTTCCTTACCCTCCAAAGACTGCATCGTTCCTAAGTATGCACCGTTGTGCGGCTTCAAGTCCAGGGGCAACGCCAAGCCCTGAGTTCAACAGAGGCCTAGGATTATCTTCCTCATGGGTCTGTTTTTGCCTGAGGTTTTCACTGCTTTTTGTTTGTTTGGTGATGGATGTTGCGTTTTACAGGTATGCCCTCCTTCATGGCGATGCTGCCTATCCTTGGAGGCGCGTTTCGAGGAATCAGTGTGCGAGCTGTGACGCGGGTATTGGAGGACTTGGAAGTGGCAATCAATAAGGCAAGCGTCCAGTCCCCTAAGCCCCTAAAGTCCGGTCACACGGGGCGTGTGCATGGCTCAATCTCACGGGCTTGGCGTGTGTGCATCAAGCAGAAGACATACATACTTACGAACCCAGGTTGGGATTGTCGTAACGGCGGGATGACCTTCAAGGCGTTTCCACTGACTCCCCCTTGGAATTGGAACATGTTGGTTCACAACTCCCTAAAGCTGCGGACAACCCATCCATGTTTTGCATGCATCTTTACCGTGGGGGAAGGACCGGTAGGTGAATACAGGAGTCACGGTTTGAGTGGAGAGGCGCAAGTGCAGTGGCCGGTGGATTAGGCCAAATAGCAGCGTCCACAACTCCAAATTTGTACTCGTCGACGAGGGAGAAGATTACCTTTTGCGGCTTCCCCCCCTGTTTTCGGGTCGACGCCAGCCCCGGACGCCTTCCCCCTTTTTTCCGGGCCATCGTTTCGCCATCATCCCCGTAACCCCACATGTTCGTCCTGCATTACTCGACATGTAGTATTTGAGCGCCCTATTCACATCCCTCGGAGTGACTGGGCCTCATCTATACCGCTGGCCGAGCACCTTGATGGGTCCTGGGCCCGAAGCGCACACCGTGGCTGACCCGCCCGCGTTACACACACGACACACCGCACAACACTGGGCCCCCCCTCAGGTCCGTTCCGGACACGCCAATGGGCGCACGACGGAGGCCGTACTTCGGGAGCTCTGTGGTGCCGTGTCTGAGGTTGCGCACGTGAACGGGGCTGTCGCCAGCTTTGCATTCGACCCAGCGGGATCTGACGACGACGGCGAGAGCGAGGAGGAGGGCGAGGAGGAGGGTGAGGAGGTGGCCGCTGGCGGCGGCAGCAGCGAGGTGAAGGCGGACCGGATAAGCGAGGTGAAGGCGGACCCGAGGAGGGTGGCCGCATGTCGGCTGCTGGGGTGGCGGCCGCTGGTGAGTTGCCGCCTGTACCTGCCGGGTAGGCCGTCTGCAGCTACCGGCGGATCCGGTGTTTCATGCGGCCAGGGCAGCAAGGGCTTGGGTGAGTGCGTGAGGGGGCTATGGGGCGAGGCTGAAGATTCAGGAGCTGAGCTGGTGTCGGCGCGAAGGGTGAGGGGATTGACTGCGCGGCAATCCGGCGGCGCGGAAGGCACCGCCAACGCTTCCGTCCCTGTGGTGGCGTCAGCACGGACTGACAAGGATGCCGTACAGCAGCTGCTGAGGACTTCCTGACTGACAAGAGTGGGGAAGAGGATAGGGATTAGACAGGTAGATTAAAGGGAGACCTGCTTGGGACGCCGCAAGTTTCAGCTGGGGAGGATATCAAGACTCGTCGGAGGAGAACTTGTGTGTGTGTGTGTGTGTGTGCGTTGTGTGTGTGTTGCGATGGCGTGAGGCTGAGAGTACGTGCGGACACGGCCTCGGCAGCTCGGCACCACCCGGGCCCTCCACCGCCGTCGCAGCGCCGCAGGTACGTGCCATTCGCAGTTGGAAAACACAATTGCAGTCGCAGCGACGGCGGCTTGGCATCAGGATTGACTTTATTCACATTTACCATTACGTTTTGAGAAGAGGGTTAAAGCTTGATCTGTGAGGACGCTGGCTGTCTAGAGGTGCTTGGGTGTGAGCAGGCCAAGGCAAATTGTCGATGGACCCCACAACCATCGGGGTTCCTAGCAGTCTTAATTATGTGGGTGTAACCGCACATTGAGATGGGTGGGCGGTGTGGGGCGTGCTTTTCAGCGTGCGCCTCAGGTTCCTTTGCTCGTGCGTTTTCGGTGTGCATCGTCTCATGTTTGTCTCTTTTTTTCCTAAGGATTGTGAATATGGTTGTATGCCTCTGGCGTATGTGCATGCATGCAAGGGATGGATGGATCCAATAGCTGGCATTGTGGCTTCCCACTTTGTCAAACGCTCAACTCTCTTGAGATTTGGTTACTGCTCATGTAAAGGAACGATCGTGCGCTTTATCGTCAGGGCTGACCTGGCATTTGTTATATACGGTTTTTTGAACTTATGACATGTGTGAGGCGGATGCGATCGAAACGTGATGGGGGGGGAAGGGTCTTGCTATTTGTCGTGGAGGACTTCGTGCTGCGTGGCGAGGAGAATTCTATTCTAGGGTTGCTAATGATGGTATGGAAAGAAATGGCTCATTATTCGCTCATTCTCTTTGCTCACCTAATGAGGCCTGCGGGGTGGCTGTTGCTATCTTCATGTGGCTCGTCGCGCGAAAGGCTTCTTAACTATACTTTCCGATGCCCTGTGATGCCGTTACATCCCATATCCTGAACGCCTGGCAAGGATGCTGGAACGTATATGGTCTCACCGCAACTCTATCGTTCCCTTTGGTCGTTAGTATCCTTCATCACTTGTCTCGTTGGAAGTGCGGGGTAGGATGGTGCTTATAGGCGATTTGGCAGCCCTTGAGCCCTCGGCTCGTACTAGGGTGGTTTGCAGGTACGGGGAACGCACCCACGACCATGTAACAACAACAACAACAACATCCCATATGATGAATGTTGTGTGCGAACGATTTAATGGTCGTCGGTTTCGCCCGCGTCACCGGCAGTGCTTTTTTGCTGCGTTGGTGAGTGGTCTTTGAGCTCATCAGGCTTCCCCGGCTGTCGATACGAACGTTTAGCAAGTCCTGGATTTTGACCACAGTGACCAATTCGGCAATGATGATGATTAATTACATCATGTCCAGTGAGCGGCCACAACCATGGGGGGCGACCGCCCCTGGAGTCCCCACCGCTCCACACAGGAACGCGTCAGACATGCGATGACGGTTGGATACTTGGCGGCCTCCGCGGTACAAGGTAATGCTACTTTGCTCAAATTATGCAGTGTTACACACTGCAGCCCGGTCGGATTGCCGCGCCATCCGTCGGAAGGGATTTTGGTGGTGTATGTGTGTGAGGTGTGTGTGTGTGTATTACGTTTGTTCCTGTGCGTGTCTGGGTCTATTCGTACATTGCTTTTAATCGTTACAATGGTGGTATTGGGGCCCTCGGCTTTCGGGCTTCTGTCTGTAGGACGGCGGAGGTAAGGCGTTTCTGTTACACTGCCCTCCATTCGCATGACCAAGGCTTCATGGCCCTATCCATCAGGTTATCCGTAGCAAGGGTTGCTATACCGTGACTACGACACTCACCACAGGATTGCCATGTTGAAACAATGTGTAGGTTGTGGCAGAAACGCCCTTCCGTTTACTTAGAAACGCCCTTCCGCACGCGGCGAGAGCTTGCCTGGAAAGCAGCACTGGGGCGCATCATTTCCAAGCATACCCAACATCATTCAGGTGCATTTATGCATGTTACGAAAGTAAGCCGCGAGAGGATAAGCAGGCAGGGTTGAGTTTGCGTGCTGACATCCGGGATGAAGCGGACTAGGATCAGGGCATGGGCTACCGGCGCGTCGAAGAGGGCGGGCTGCGGTTTCTCCCGGGGCCACTAGCGCACGTGCTCATGTGCAAGGAGCTTCCACCGTTGCGACATCGGTGCTCCGTTGCCCTCGGTCAGTCAGCAGCGGTGGGTGGACGGGACAAGGAAGGTGGCATGGAGCCTGGCGTGCGGGATGTGGTCACGGGCGTGAAGGGAGACAGCCGAACGAGAGGCGGTGTGTTTGTGTGGAATGCATTGGTGGGCGATGGGACGGATAGCGCAGTGAACCCGGCTAGCAGGTGCTGTTGTCCTGGCATGGGAAGGAGCTTTTGATTTAAATAACAAGCCGCTGGCCAGTTTTGAGGGCCCACGGTACACTGTGATTTGTCTTGTGCCAATGCATACCCGCTCATTCCGGCGTGAGATAGAGGCGGCGAATGTTCAGGTGGGACGGAGTGCTCGCTCAGACACTGTGCGAGCATTCCGAGTTCGATTGGAATTTCTCCGCTATTCGCAACTCATCCGCCGATTTTTCAACATCGGTCGCATATGGCGCTTGGGATGTATGTCTTTGTGTTACACTTCGATCTGCATTCTATCAAGCCCACCATAGCCGAATCCTCACGGCTCGGACAACAAGCTGGAAGTTCTACCCCTAGGTCAGGGGAGGATCCCTGCCCCAGGGTTACAGGGATCGTACCCCTCGCGACATCCACCAGTCCCGCAGAGCTGACCGAGGCCAGGCATTCCGCCCTTGCTCTACCAGACCCCATAAAAACATCATTATCTCTGTCTTCATCTGCCCTATTCCCACCTATTCCAATGCAATCACACCTAGCGCAAAACTGGATGGATGTTGAGGCGTTGCACCAAATGCCAGCTTCCCAAAGACGATGCGCCGTCTTCGGAACTCTTGACGCGGCCCTGAGCCCTCAATACCTCTTCACTTTTAGCAAAACCGTGGAAGGAAAGAAAGCGTATTCAGGCTTCGTTGCCTCAAAAGAGAAAAGTATGGCGATCAAGCAATACACACGCACACATGCGCCACACGCACATGCATATGCAGGAAAACCTATTAAAACAAACAGCATCGGCACGAAAACAATGGCTTCGCCCACCACCAGTCCACACAATCGTATACACACATGGTTATACCACAGGCTAAGCAGCTCATTCAGTCTCGCTGGGTTCTACTCAAGCAACTACAAAAAGTTTACGCGCAGGTGCAGACGCCGTGGACTGCCAGGAACCGACGCCACTCCACTCCGACCTACGCAAGTCAAAAAAACGAATTACCATGCACACCAATGGCAGCAGATGGGAACAGCCAATCAACCCCAATTGCGCTCCTCGAGTGCTACCCAGTCGCACACCATGAAGGACGGACCCGAACGGGACGAACTCCCCATGGTATGCAAAAAAATTACTGAAGCTAGCAGCAGTCTGCCTCGTGTACCTCACCCAAATCCAAGACCCCGTCGTCCTGATAACAACGCAGGTAAACTAGGGGACTCTCACTCAAAAAGAGCAGTGCCAGCGCCTACACTTACACCTAACTACCTAACGCATGAAAGGAGATCACATCGTATTTCGAAAGCTACATCTGCAGCCACGTACGGGCAAAAGCGCGAGCAAAGCACACGCTAAACCCAGACATGCCTCGTCCAAACTCCTGCACCTGTATCTCGGCCTATCATACAGCAATGGCCTTCTGGGCACGAGGCAACAAGGCCAACCCAAGCAATGTCTGAAGCAATGTACGGTCATATCACCCACTATCATACCGATGAAGAGCAGCCGTAATGGACGCGGGCCAAGAACAGCATCCATTGGCCCAGATTCCCACCTCAACGAGTACTTCATCATCATTATCATCATCCGCCAACCCCAAATCGGTACTTGGCGACGTCAATAAGTTGCAATGCTAGTGCTCAAGGGCTTGCAAGCGCAGCGCAGGCATACGATCTCGTGCGAAAAATTAGGGCAGCCTCGGCGAACAAAGTCACCCATGTCACTGCACTGCAGCTCTCGCAACACCAGGCCGTTGCAGTTTCGCAACACCAGCTTCACGCGCTGGCAGCACACCAGCAGCAGCTCTACAGAATTTAGGCAGCTCACCACCACAACACAGTCGCGACAGTACTCTATCCGTATCCGCGTGTTGTGGCAGTTGCGGAGCGTGATGCGGCCCCGGACGAGGTTGCTGATGGGCTCCGGAACCGCGCCGTTGCGCTGGTGCTGCAGTTGGCGCAGCTGCCGACGCCGGCTTCGCCTGCGCGGGGCGGCACGCTGCTGGGACTGCGCTTCCGTGGGGTCATCAATGCTGGGGATTGATCCACGGTTGCCATCGAAGTTCACTATAGAGCACCGTGGCGACACTGCGAACCTGAGGAAGCTGCAGGCTGCACGCGCCAGAGCGCGACCGGTCGTTGCGGCCGCTCGACACGTAGAGGAAATGAGCGACCTGCTGACGAAGAGGCTAACCCGCGCTGCGGGCACGACTGCCAAGCCGAGCATGGTGCGGCCCGCGACCAGGCTCCCACGAGCGACATGCCTTGCGCTGAGGGCAACGCAGTGCTGAGATCGGCCAGTTACAGAGCCTGCCGCGCTGCTAGGGGCCCGCTCAAGCATGCGCACGCGTGGAGATGACGCCGTGTCCGCAGAACCGAACAAGGTCGGTATGATGTGATCGTCATCAAGCAGATCCCCCAGCAGCTCATCCTCGATGCGGTATCGCCGACGAGGAATGGGCCATGATTTGGTGCCTGCACGGGGGCCCCGAATCGGTGTAAGCTTACACCAAGTCCTCTGCTTCCAGTTAAGAGATTCCGATATGCATGCGCAGCCAATTCCTATGATAATGAAGGCTGTTTATCAACTTCTGTATCATATTCAGAGACAGCCAAATAAATTGTAGCACAATAACCCCCCAAACAGCACAGCAAACCCACCTTGCATCTTGCGAGACTTATCGTTCTTGCTTTTCGGAGTCGCCGCTATTGCCGCGTGGCATACAGGACAGCTGCTAATCGCCGCGCTGCAGCTCTGGCAACCAAAGTGACCGCAGCCCAAATCAACAGGCGGGTTGCTGCAGTCATCGAATTCCCGCCAGCAAACCACACACATGCTCAGGGAGGCTGGGGCATCAGCTAGATGGACGATAGTACGGTTGACAACCAGCACTATCTTTGGCTACCAAGGGTCCCCGGCATCTAGAAGAGTGAAGCAGTTCAACATTGCTAAGCCATTCATCAAGGCTTATAAATTAATGCTGCCTGCTATGGCCCAAGGACCGCCGAGTATCTTGAAAGTAAGCGCAACAGGGCTGTGAAATCATGCAAAGCTACAATGCAATTATTGTCCCAATTGCCTACTGATGGCACAAATATTTCCATTTGTCAATGTGTATCCGAATTCTTAAGCGACTCGGCTGAACAGTACGGCAAATCTCGAAAGGGTAGAAGAGCTGCAGAAGAGCTGCAGAGCTGGATACCCTCCGTGAAGCCTTAAACCCCTTACGTGTATGTTGTGATGCGTGCAATACGACAACCACTGATTACAAGCACCGTAGCGCCCGTTAGCTGGTGGGCAGGGCGTGTCAAAGGGATGAGGTTACTGGGTATCCTGCGCACTTTACGAGAATCGTGAACCCGGTAGCAGCTCCCTGCGCGGAAGCCTTCCCGCAGCTTGCACTTCATGGGGTTGGAGGACTGCAAACAGGATGGGTCCAGCCAGCCCACCACTGCTCTGCTTGCGTCAGAGCGGAAAACGACAGGATGACGCCATCAGGCGCCGTCTTCCTCTCTTTCCCCTTCCTTTCCTTCCTTTCTGCAGTAGACCCTCGTCCTCGTGTGTTAGATATACGCAAACTCTTTGTGCGACAGAGCGACAGAGCATTAGCCGGCCCCACCCTCTCCCCGGCCTCCGCCGCCTCCCGCTCCTTGCACGCCTCATAGTGCGGGTCGTCCGCGGGCAGCTCCTGGCGGCAGATGGGGCACGAGTTGTTCTGCTCCAGCCAAGGCGTCAAGCCGAGAGTCGCATGGTAGCTGTGCTTGCAGGGCAACAGCTGCACCTCGTCGCCCACTTGCAGCATCTCCGTGCAGACCGGACACACTGCATCCCTGCACAACAGCCAGGGCTGGGGAAGCAGGTCGCCCAATCAGCCGGCACACACCAAGGCGGGTACAGGAGAATTTAGGGTTGTCAGGAATGCAGACACATGCAGGGTCCAAGCAGTAGGATTTCAGCGACGTAATTTTTCAGAGCTGCAGCAGTGCTAGCTTACCAATACAGCTAGCAGGAATGCTAGCGGGGGGAAACTAGGGGGGCGGCTTTCCAAAGCCGAAAAGGGGCTCGGCCCCGGTGCATCCGCAGTTGAACCCCGTTTGATTCTCAGGGCAGTCCGGACGGCATAGGACTGCAAGCACAAGAACGCCGTCACGTTTGGAGTACACACTTGTTATTGTGGATAGCTGTGTGAGATGGTGTCTGTCGTTCCTAGGGTGGGTGGCACCACGACCACAAAGAAATCGCAGGAACGGCGGAGCGGCTAACGTGTCTTCAACGTGAGGCAACGTGAGAACCTGCAGAATGGCCATAGCGCACGTCAATTGGGCTTTGCAGCTGAGCGGCTTGTGCTTTCTTCCTTGCTATGCATGAGAGTCGGAAGGCGTTAGGCCTAGATCCAGTCACGAACGACGCCAACCCATCGATTTGGCAGTTCGAGGCGCCCCCGTGCGCTAACGGTCAACGTTTATCCAGTACCACAGCTCCTTTGAGACTTGTCAAAGCCAGCCTATCGAATAACCTTAAGCTGGAATGCAATGACAGGACACAGCGCGGGTGGGCCGTTTGTAGTCAATTTACTAGAAACATCATCAACGCAACTTTGGAGGTATTTCTTTCGGGTCCCGATGCTAACGTTCAATTTGAGACGAGATGACGTATCATACACGTGTGAGACGGAGGAGAAGTAATAGAAAGAAGCTCTGGAGCGTTGCCAGGGTTGGCCTGGGGACCGGTTGTGGGGGAGCAACGCTGTGTACGGTCTTCTCATCGTTATTACAACAGTTCGCCATGGGCTTTGCAATGGCGCCTATGGGAAGCTGGGTTAGGCCACGCTAGCGGGGCAAGTCAAACCCATGGAGCGCGGGAAGCTATCTTCGCCCACAGATTTGTCTGAATTGATTCCCTTGGTCTATCGATAAAGAATGAAAACAGCTTTCAGACGCAATTCAAAGCGGGGTGAGATAAGATCAAATGTTACACCGTGACTGACTGACTGACGGACGGACGGACGGACTGACAGCAGTGAACCCAGGGGGCTCGGTTCACGCCCGGGGCCTCGCCCAAAGAGGTAAAACATGGCCCAGGCAAAACCGGGGCCCACACGAAGGGCGTATGGATGCATAGATGCCCTCCACCGCTGTCACCACTATCACCCGTGCTATCACAAGTCCGGCTGCCTCTACCGAGCCAAACAACCGATACCCACACGCGCAACGCAGCACGTGCCAAAGGGCGAGGATGCTTTTCATTACCCGCCGCTAGCCGTGTTATGGATGTGTTGGGCTTCATAGCCCATAAGGCATACACGGCAACGCGCCTCTTTTTTTTACGTTGAGCGGTTACCACTCTCGTCCTCCAGGAACCCCCCAAGCGACCTTCCCCACACGGAACAAAACAACGCACCCGACGGTACCTTTTAGAGAGCCATGGTTATATTAAGTTTTAGCGTGCCCGTGCACCTCTGATGCCACAAACGACCGTATCGTAATACATCACCGAGGCGCACACGATCGTGACTCGCGAGTCCCCAAGCTGCTGGTCTGGCTGGCGTCACACGGCGTCAGGGCAGTTTTTGACGGATGTTTGTTTCATTTTTCATTTCCTATCCTGATTCGAAAGTGGATAGGAGAGTAAAGAAAAGAAAATCATGCCGATTACGACGGGTTGCGTTAATGCAAAACGTTTGGCTCCATCCTGCTCCAGACTAAGCAGATCGCGATATAGGATTTTAGCCTTTTCCATATCCTGGAGGGCTGGGACCTTGCCGGATCCGCATCGCGGAGCTAGAAGAGACTGCCGGTGCCACTTGGCAGCTGCGAACAGGGACGGAGAAAACAAAAGCCTAAGTCAACCAGACGGGCAGCGTCTAGACAATTCACCATCCTAGAGGTTCAAAATCACCCCAGAGCTGCAGGTGAACGCCGGGTTGCTTGCAGCCACTATTGGTCATTACAGCGACACCCAAGCTCATCGTTACAGGGGGGCATTTAATATAGTATCGAGTAAATTATATTCACGTGTCCAATCGGTGAGCATGCACATATGTGTTTATGTGTGTGTTGCACTTCGAGATGTGTTGGCCCTATGCACGCGGCAATTGACCGTCAACGTAACCATACGAGCCCGGGGCTTAAGGGCAAGCCGAAGGCTGTTCGAATTAGATAGATAAAAAAATTACCATTATCCTATCGCCCCCCGAAAAAGAATACGTTTTTTCCAGGGTTGGGACTGTTGCCCTCATCGCCGTGCGATAATACGTACGAGCCTGGCGTAATCCAGGGCATCAAAGAAACCACTGAAACCATTCATATTTAGACACTTTTCATCACGATCTCCACGACAAAATGTGCAGCACCACTTTCAGGTAGATGTAAATTCCTTCCTTCGTATGCACCGCAGAAGGTTTCAGGTACGATAGGCTACTGGCAAATTCATCCAACTGCGCGCCTTGGCAGCGCCTAAGGATAATAACTATCCATCTATCCTACAATCCATCGCAAGCATATTATTATTGCTCATTTGATTGACCATGGTAGATTCGGTCGATGTCACTGATGGCCTGCTGCCGGCGTCGCTCGCGTCGCTCTCGGGTTCGTCATCTGCAGTCGGCCGCAACTATCAAATCATGGTCACCAACAAAGCTGGCTATCTCTGCAACATCCTGATGCGATCCATCTGGAAATCCGCGACACCAGACGTTCTCTTCGCAATCCTCACGCATCCAGGTGGGCGGCAGGCGGCAGCTGAGCAACGAAAAACATCAGTCTGCTGCTCGAGCAGCCTGCGCCAAAGGGTTAATGTTGCATATCCTCGCGCCCAAGCCAAACATTTAAATATGTGTTTTTATTATTTTCTCCATCCTGCATTTGTGCGCCAAGGCCTCTGGATAGCGGCATATGCCCAGGGGCCCCGCATCCTCTGTTGATGATGAGCCTCAACGCCTCACATGTCCGACGGCTTTTCCCTACTTTTCGGATGTTTCCACGACTCCTCGCTCTCCCTCACTCCAAAACTGTTCATTGGCTCCATTTGTTTTGTTCAGAGAATGGCAGATTTCTGCAGGGCTTGAAACGGGTCGGGTCGCGCACGATTCTCAAGGCCGAATCGGGCGTTTTGGAGTTTCAGGCGAGTTACATGGACATGTTGACCGTCGCGCTGTGAGCCGATCCGTGAGGTCATTTTTCAGAACAATTATAATGACTTTGCGCGCAAAGTGATGATGGAATGGGCAACAGAGGCAAAGCAAGTAAAGGTCTGAATAATTGCGAGGATACGGGCGCCCCAGCTACGTACCCTTTGCCTTTGCTTACCATTGCCCCGCATTTCACATCTCACTTTGCGAGCCAGGTTGCGAGTTCATATAAAGATCTAGGATCATGGTAAAGCTGATGATAGGATATTCACCACTACTGCTCACCACTACCTGTTCACCCCATGCTGACATGCAGCATCTGCTGCGCACACATCTAACGTCCTGCCGCCGCATCCCACCATATTTAAGGATACAATTACACCCTGCACAACAGGCTATATGCGAGCAGCGGAATAGTAATATTAATTTCAGCGTCTGACGCGGAAGCCCTCCTGCTGCCATCCTTGTTTCGTTGCGCAGCTGCACACTGTTACGAAAGTACGGAAACTATTCAAGTACGGCATGTACAACAGCTGGCTCCATGTTGTGGAGGACATGCGCAATCCGGAGTGCCTGAGTACCAAATTCGATCTGGTCAAAAGCGTGAGGCGGGTTATTGTGGGTGTGTGATCTTTAGGACCGACGGAACCGAGGAGGAATGAGGCGATTTGATGGAGAAAGCGGAGAAGCGATATCCCCCAAATTTTGAGTCCATTTAGGAGATCATTTTTATGACCGTATGAATATTCATTATTAATAAATTAGCCGTTGTTGTGGTGATGTTGAGTAGCTCATCGAGCTGGGCTGCAGCCCTCTCGCGAATTCCTAAATATTCTGCTGCCCTGTTAGTGCCGTACATGTTCGTCCCTCAATCCGTCCGTCCGCAAAGCTGTTCTGGTCTGGCTTTTTCCCGTACAGGAGATTTTCCTCAAATTCAGCGGTCGTTGGGAGCTGCGTCCGGTTCGCGACCCCGTCAGTGGACTGGTGGTGGGCTGCCAGGGGGAGCTTCATCAGGACGTACTGCCAAGGGGTACGAACAGATGAATCTGCAGCATACATACAGATGCACAAAAACGTGCATATAAATACCAGAGGGAGGGAGGCAGGAGGGGGCTGTGACAGAGGAAGATCCAAATAAGCTGTCGCGTGTGCGTGCGTATGTATGTTGTTCCAGGGTGGTATAGCTTCACCAGCGGCCCCCTTTCCCTTGGAGGCAGTTCCCTGCTCTCCCCTGCGAGAGGGGCACCCTAATCCATTCACCCCATCCGACTTCGTATGTATGTGTGTGTATGTGCTGTGCGTGCGATCAATACAGTTTCCGCTGCTCTGATTGTTCGGATGTGTCTCTTTTAACGTCCTGCTGGCTGCAGTCGCTGTCTTTGTCGCTGATAGCTATCCTTCCCGCCTGCAACTCAACTGGTGCTGTCGGCCACCGATGCCGCATCTGATGCCACCACCACCACCACCACCACTGTGGGACCAACTGCGAAAACCCGCCCCGACTCTGAAAACGGCGCAGGCGTGCCTCGCTTCCTAACTCGTCTGCCCGTGCTCGGCTCCTTCTTGCGCCGGATGTCTCTCGGACCCGTCAGCCGAATTATGGAGGACCTGAACGCCGTCGTCGACCAGGTATATTGCCCGGAGATGTTGTATGTGTTTGGGTTTTACGGAGGGTAAGGAATAGACGGGACCTTGAGCGTGAGCGAACGGCGTGGACAGGGGAATTGCCGTTGGTGGTACAACTTGGTACCCGGGAATAAATCCATCATACCGAAGCGGGCTGCGTAGTCCAACGATACTGTTTGAATAATATCAAGTAGGTGTTGAATTGAATAGAAATGTTGAGGAGCCCGTAGAAATAGTCAGAGGCCTCTGTAGCAGCAACAGCAGCGGCAGCAGCAGCAGCAGCAACATCATCATTAGCAGCAGCGGCAGCAGCGGCAGCAGCGGCAGCAGCGGCAGCAGCGGCAGCAGCGGCAGCAGCGGCAGCAGCGGCAGCAGCGGCAGCAGCGGCAGCAGCGGCAGCAGCGGCAGCAGCGGCAGCAGCGGCAGCAGCGGCAGCAGCGGCAGCAACGGCAGCGGGAGTTTGTAGAACACAATGATAGGCAGGGTCGACGTGCGGGTGGGGGTTGCTCGTGTGGGTGGAAAGGACGTGAAGAAGGACGGGAGGAGGTGAGGAATTTAGCGGGCGTGTTGCAGGTCTGGGAGATTTGCCTGGATGCGCCGTGGCAGGGGGGCATGTAGGGGCCCACGGAAGTGCCGTACACGTTAGGGTGCGGCACATAGAGTCCATCGCTGGTCCGCAAGAAGCCTTGGTGATTCGGGTTGTCCCGATCAGCGAGTGTCCGGATCAGACGTGTGTGTATGTATGTATGTGTGTTTTTCACCTTGATTTGCATTACCCTACCAAGGTGTACGGCAACCCGTGTCTGTGGGTGATCGTTGCATGTGCATGTCTGAGCTTTAATATATCTCTGTGCTTTATGATAGTGGCCAGCTGTGGCCAGCTGCGCTATATCACCCGAGCCAAGATAAGAACCGGGTCCCGGCAGCCCGGGCAGCAGTGCCCAGAGGCAGCAGCACCCAGTGGGCGATCATAGGAAAGGGAGGATCCCATTTTCCCTTTCTCTTTTTCCGGAGGGGGTTGCAGCCAGATCGTATCTCGGTCGGTGTTCGTCCACCTGCTCAGTTAGCGGGTGCTTGCGAATAGAGTGAATATGGGTATGAGCTGGTGCACTTGGCAGGGCCCGAGGGTGGGGTAGGGCCTTCTCGTCGGGTTAGTTCTCACTATGTACGCCTCGTTGTATGTTTGTCTGTCTATGTGTTTGTCTGTCTATGTGTTTGTCTGTCTATGTGTTTGTCTGTCTATGTGTTTGTCTGTCTGTGCATTTGTCTGTTTGCAGGTTCTGATGGGACAGGCCGTGGGAAAGACAACAGATGAGGTGCTTCAAGAGTTGTGTGCGCAGTCAACGCCGGCAGCCGAGAACGCGGCTGACGTGGACGTGGCTGGCGACGGTTTTGCAGAAGAGGGTTCGGGCAGCCCCATGCATCAGGTGTCGATCGAGTCGGCCAGCAGCGGCGGCCCATGAGGAGAAAGCCACTCAGTTCGGTTGAAGTCCTCGAGGCGAATGGCAGCAAATTGGAGAAAATGCAGCCGTGCAGTGTTCCCCCTCCCCTTCTCCCTGGGGTCTGACTTGCACTCAAAACGGAGACGAAGAAGATACTCGTTGCGCGAAAGTCATGGTACAGCATTTGCATTGCAAGAGGGGCTTCTCCAGGCCAAATTGGCATGCATATGTCCAAGAGAGGCCTCTCGTCCTCCTCATCTTCTTACTGCTGGCGTGTTTTTGGCTTGGCTGGGGCTTGTGGCAAAAGCACAAAACCCTTCCTACTTGGGGAGTTGCTGGGTCATTCCTAGTGTATCTTGGGCCTTATGCACGAATATTTAGCGGGATGTAGCTACAGCCGTATTGGCATTAGCTGGCTGTCGGACAGACAGATTCGCAAGAGGACCCCGGAAAGACCTCAGTCCAGGGAGGGAAGCGAAGTGATAATTCATGGGACGGAAGCGAAGTGAAAATTCATGGGACGGAAGCGAAGTGAGGCTCCTACTGCCGGTGGCAGCCCAGCCCTTTATGGGTCACCAGGCATATAGCGTGTTGTTTACTCTTTACCATCCGTTGTTATTGTTCCGAAGGGTGTTGCTATGGGGGGGAGTAGGTTGGAGGGAGGTGGAGAGAGGGGGCAGAAACATTTTCTGCCCCGGGCAGTGTATCTGGGGCTGGTTAAGGGGGATGGGAGGGAGGAAATTGAGCTTTGGCAGGAGCATGAAGCAATGAAGCGCAACGGGAGGGGGAAGGGAGGGGGAAAGAGGGGTCGAAAGGGCGTCATGAGGGGCGAAGGGGTCGTAGTTGGGGAAGTGAGGCGGCAGAGGAGAACTAGAGTGGGGCGTGAGGACTTGAGAGGCAGAGGAGGACTAGAGAGGAAGTGAGGCGGCAGAGGCGGACTGGAGGAGCGAGGAAAGACCCTGCTCTTAGTCCTAAGTCCTAGTCGTTGTCGTACTTCTTGTTCTTGTTCCAACTTTGAGCTCGGTCGGATTTGCGTGGCTTGGGATGGCAGCCTGGAATCTATCCCCTCGGTAAAGCCGTGTCTTTGTGTGTTTGTATTGGGTGCTTAATGGTTTTCACTCAACGCAGGAGGGCCCCAGATCCAAAGATGTTCAGTAATGCTTAGCCCCTGCCAGGGGGGAGATGTATTAGAATTTGTAACTATAATAGAGCTCATTTGCATGCTCGAATTGTTCTGGGTTTGCGAGCGGGTGTACACGCCTGTCGAGTAACTCCTATCGTAAAGGAGTTCAATGGTGGGTAAAGGGTGTGGTATGTCAACAATTGTGAGATGTTGAATAACTGGTCACGGCGTCCCGCGCAGACATCGGCAACGGCTTTGGGCACTTCGGGTCGCACCGAAACCCTCAAAAACAGAAATGAAATAAATTCCCCGAGGCCGGCCCGCTTGCAGAAATCGGGCCATCCGCCTACCACCCCACACGAAAGCTCCTCTGCGGCCCGAAGGTCCGCGCGACGGCCCGAGCAGGCAGTCAACGACGACAGAAATGAACCCGTCTTGAAACCAGGAATACTCATTTTGCCATTGTCTGGTCCCGCATAACAGTATCCTACAATCCTAGCCCCTGTACCAACTGTGTCGGTTAGTGCGAACCGACTGCATCAACCGCCACGCTCCTGCGAGAACCCAGCACCTGGTCATCTATTACTCCAGACGCGTATCGTGCGGAGCATCCTTCAGCTCTCGTTAAATCTAGCAAAAACGCCTATCAGCCGGCACGATATCGGGATACACATGGCACCTCCCACCGCCCTGTTGATAAGGGACGCAGTGTAGCGGAAACTTGAAGATCCATATTGAATATTTTAGCTAAGATGTCCTGCGCACGCCTAGCTATCTCGAAGAACAGTCTCAACCTGCCATGAAATGACCCGTCGAGTAATCTTTGGGGATCCAAATCCGCTGGGACTTCCAGCATCAACTTATTCCCATCCCGTTGATATCTTGGGCTCCGGAGCGTTTGGAAAGGTATGTCCTGCTAGATGTCCTGGTATGTACTTGCTGGAGCATCGGTGCTATTGATGCAGCTAAGATGACAAAGCGCATACTTGGTAATGTAGACACTTTGATATATTGTTACTTTCCATCAACCTAATTCAAGGTGCGTTGTCCTTGGCTTTCTTGAAAAGGTCTACTTGTGCTGCCGCCGAACGCCTCTCCAACCTGCAAGAAGCGCTACCAGGTAACGTCTTCAGCGCACGCGTTGCGCAGCGCCGGTTTTCCGGCATGTTGTACAGTGCAGTTCACGCCACGAACGTCCCCGCGACCCCTGCACGAAACAGTCCCCAAGCCCCCGAGTCAGTTCCCCATGCGGACAATATCGTCTGCCAGTCGGAGTGGGTGGCTGTCAAGATATACAAGGTTAGCGACGTTCCACCCTTGTTAACCATTTCTCCCCCGTTCCCCCCCGTGTCGCTCTTTTCCCCGTCTTTTACCTCCCCCGCTCCGTTCTATCTCCCCTCCTTTCCCCCGCCAGCCCTCTCTCTGTCTCCCCACATCCTCCATACACGCATTCATTTTAATTGATTGCGTTTTATGGTTTATTGGTGCTTCTTGAAAAAAACGAGTTTTAGTAACGAGTTTTGGCTTTAATCGTATCGTGTTGCATTGTGATCACGTTCTACTCCTGTATGTATGTTTGTACGTAACCATGCAGCCGCTCGTCCGTTGTGAGCTTCGTTACCTGGAGTATTTAAAGCGGGAGGCGGTCAACCAACGTCGCCTGAACCACGAACATGTCATCGGCTTCAAAGAGGTGACTTTTGAAAGAGGGCTGCGGATGGGGGGGAGAGGTAGGGGGAGCCCTTGAGGGGTTCAACCGCCATAACCGCCTTCACTGCGGTCGTTACACGGTCGTCATATAACCGTTTTTGCCTCAGGTGGGCCTTACAACCGACCAACGGCTTTACCTGACATTAGAGTATGCGGACAGCGGGAGTTTGAAGCAATGGCTGGCGGCACAGCCAGGTCACCGGCTACCGGAGGCGACGGCACGGTGGTTCGCACAGCAGTTGGTGTACGGCCTGTCGTACTGCCACGCGCACGGGGTGTACAACAGGTGTGTCGGGGTCGCGAAAAAGTGTGCAGGTATGCAGGTGTGTATGTGTGTTTTGGGCCGTACGTGTAGTTTTGGGCGTTGAGTGGAGCTGCTGCCGCGCTAATACCTGTTTTGGAACTTCTAGGTTCGAACTTGTCGTACAGCAGTTTGGGTCCATAGGATGCTCTTTCTTCGTCCCCACCTATGTCGGCATTCAATCATTCCCCCCCTCACCCCCCCGACCCCCTCTGGGTGTTACTTGCTTTACCCCTCCCCCCCGCCCCACACACCTCCCCAAGGGACATCAAGCCCGCCAATCTGCTCCTGCACAGCAATAAGGATAGCCCGCAACCCCTGGAGCCCCCCTTGCTCAAGGTATTGGGTATTGGGATGGTGTGGTGTAACTTGGGACGAGGTTTGGTTGGATCCGCAGTGCAGTGCAATTTGTTGGTTGGTTAGTTGGCTCCAAAGCGTCTACGAGATACCGCATGTTGGTGCCACATCATGGCAATTGAGCGTACGGCATTCGTGCCATACTGTCGTACTGTACTGCGTGAACAACAGATGAACACTTACCAAGCTCGACTTTGCTTTTACTGCATTGGTGTCCCGTTTGTTTGTGTGTTCATGATCTGAGCCACGGGCAAGAGATCTTGCACACATACAGACACATACAGACACATACAGACACATACAGACACATACAGACACACACAGACACACACAGACACACACAGACACACATACAGACACATACAGACACACAGACACATGCACATACAGACACCAAAGCAACTTCAACGAAGGAGGGTCCCCCGTCATCATTTGGCGCCGCAGGTGGCCGACTTTGGTTTGTGCAAGAGCAGCGCGGACTCGGTGCCCAAATCACAAGTAGGCTCCCCGCATTACATGGCGCCCGGTGAGCTGAACGTGGTGCACTGTGCGGTGCGGTGCGGTGGCGAGCTGAGTGTGGTGTGGTGTGCTGCACTGTGCTGTGATGGGTAGAGGAGAAAGGAATGTATGTATTTATGCATGTATGTATGTATGCATGTATGTATGTATGTATGTATGTATGTATGTATGTATGTATGTATGTATGTATGTATGTATGTATGTATGTATGTATGTATACGTGTCTTACACGGGACGTGGCGGGCCTTTGCATCCCTCACCTCACCCCACCTCACCTCGCCGGGCCTGTGTGTATCCCTCCACATTTACTCCACCTTTCCCGTGACCTGATGTACCCCCCCTTTCCTCCACACACACCCTCACCCTTTGCTTCTTGCTTCCGGCGGCTGGGGTTATGCTATGCTATGCTATGCTTACATTGGCGCGACCTGCCCTGACACGGCACAATACGACACATGTTCCGACGTCTGTGTGCCTCACTGCTCTTGGAGCCCCGCCAGAGGTCTTTTCTGGGAAGCCGTATGACGGTCGCAAAGCCGATGGTACGTCACTGCCGTACTTGGCTGTCGTACAGCTATCCATACATGTGAAAAGAAACCCTTAAAACCCTAAAACCCGTAGATTTTATTTCCCTGTTCTCATGCACGCAGTGTTCTCTTGTGGCGTGGTGATCTTCCAGATGGTCTTCGGTGTGCTGCCCTTCAGTCGAACACTTGACGGTCGAAACCTGGACTTCAATCGCAATTTCCGGGAAATACACGACAACATGAAAAACGAGGTCTGGAAGAAGCTCCTTCCTGCCTCTTCCCCCACGATCACGATGGTCACCGCCCCCACCAACAGAACAGAGGCCATGGCACCCTCATCACCATTGGCGGTGACGGTGATGGCAACAGCAGCAACAGCGAGTGCTGGGCTGCTGGACCTGCTGTACGGCATGTTGCGGTACGACCCTGATCGGCGACCGACGCTTCTGGAAGTCATCCAGCACGCCTGGTACCGCGAGGGCCTCCCGGACTCGATGTACGAGTTCGTGTTGGCGGGGGGAGCAGGAGCAGATCAGAGACCACCCCCGGTGTGTGTGTGTGGGGGTAGATATTGTTTTATTAGGTAGATGGATTTCGATTTTTTTTTAAAAGAATTTATAATATAATCGTTGTTCACATTATATATAATATAGAATTTGTAATATAAACGTTGTTACAGAAATTATTGTAGTCCATTACCGATTGATGGCAATATACAGCCATGCTGTGCCTCATTTTAAATTGTTTTATGGTGCATCTAGTATGTGGATGCGAGGCTTAGACAATCTACGAGCTCAATATTCGTGGCTGCATCCACCACAAAGTGACCCAAGTGCCTGCCAAGGCCCACAAGCGGCATGATCTGCGCTTGTAAGCATGTTTTAGCAACAACAAGAAGCATTTTGGTGCACTACATTGTCGCCCTGGGATTGATGGATTAAGTCAAGACAGCCTTCAAGACAGCCTTGAAGTTTGACAAAAAGGCAGGCGGCTGGCAGAGGTTAAGGCCTGGCTTCTGCTCCCGCCGCGTCCGGGTTCAAATCCGCATGCCGACCTCTCGGGGTGTTTGAGAGGTGATGAAATGGGAGGTGGCCCCCCATTTTGTGGACGGTGTAGGACGTGATAAAATCAACTTGCGAGCTGACCAGGAACTAAGTTGACGCGCCGTTGATCCGCTAGACTTGGTTGGATGCCGATGGTGAGTTGCCAAACTCAAAAGAGTACACTCTGAAGTCGGATGGGGTGAATGGATTAGGGTGCCCCTCTAGCAGGGGAGAGCAGGGAACTGCCTCGGGAAGGAGGCCACTGGTGAAGCTTAACCACCCTGTAACAACATCAACATGAACAAGGGCAGGCTTGTGCACAGCAGTGGTAGTGGTAGTGGTAGTGGTAGTGGAGGAGCCATAAATATTGAGCTCGTATAGGTTATTAAAGCTGAATGAATGCATACATACATGCATGCATGTATGTATGCATGTGCTTCAATGGCCTCCACCATCAAGCCAACATGTGTGTATGTAGGTGTATACATATGCGCGTGTGGGAGGGAGAAAGGGTTGCCAAGGGAAAAGGAGAGGAGAGATGTGAGAAAATGCACTCCAATGTCAAGCTGCAGTCGATGCCCTATGGTACCCGTGCTGTGTATGGTTGTGAGCAGGAGGGGATGAAGGCCATGCAAGGCTCCATGCAGTGTCGTCGGAATCATCAATGCTGTTTCCTGCTTCGCCTCCTCCTCCCCCCTTCTTCTTCTTCTCCTTTCCCCTCTTGCTGCCCCGATCCACCCACAGGCTAGCTCTCAGAGTGTGGAGCTCATAGAGGTGGAGTTCTCGCGGATCATGGAACACTGCGCCGCCTGTCAACATGTGGTGGCGGCACGGCAGCAGCACCAACAAGAGGCAGAGGGTGTCAGAGAGGACTGCAGCGAAGGGCAGGAGGAGGAGGAGGAGGACAGCGAGGGGGTGGAAGATTTGTAGCCAGCTGGGTGCCAGCCCCGGAAATAAGGAACTACGTAGAGCATTGAGGATGACACGGATATGGATGCAGATCCTCCTCTGGGGGATTGCTAGGAAGGGGGAGGAGGGGGAAAGGGAGGGTTGGTGCCAGAGGGCTTACGGCACCACTTACGGCACCGGGAAAAAGTCTCTCAGGCCTTAAAAACCCTCTACCCACCCCGCATCCCACGTATGGCGGCACATGGTTTGAAAGGGGTCCTACAGGGTGTGCATGTGGGCGGGAGGGGCAAGGGGAGAGTCGTGCACATGTGATGTGCATCCCCCCACAGCACCTAAACCCCACCTCCTTCGCCTGCTCCTGCTCCTGCTCCTCCTCTTCTTCGTCCTCCCATCATCACACTCCACATGCCAGGTGGTTGGGGCTCCACTGCAATGGGGATGGGGAGCTCCACCACAGGTCTCCATTGGACAGCACCCCAGCCAGCAACGGCATCAAGGGTTATAATATGACTTATCATGCTGTGGTGGTTGTAGCTGTAGCTGTAGCTGTAGGTGTAGGTGTAGGTGTTTGGAGGAGATTGAAGAGGGGGAGGTACTTTGGGTTGTTCTGGTTCCCGAATAGATGGGGTTAGGCATGTACTGGGCCCACCTTACCAATAGGATGGAAGGTTTATGGAGCGTGCGGTGTTGGCGTTAGTGTTGGTTGTGGGGGGAGGGATGGCCGTTGCAGAGGTGCGGATAGACCGGGGCCTAGCTACCCCTCTAGCTAGCTGCTTAATGGTGTGTGTAGACAGATGGATGGCACTACACTGGAAGATGTGATGTGCATACAAGCTTAATTCATTAAAACACACATATGCACACGCACTCCGTGTCAAGCGGGAGGGAATAGTGGCCCCTAACGCCCCGCCCCTTTCCCCCCGGGGGCTCCCGGTCTTGTCCATTGGGGCTAGGCAGCAACCCCTAGCCAGTGCCAGGCCTGTCAAGATATGTAACAATACTTACACACATTCACATACACATACACACCACACATGTATGGATGCATGGATACATCCGGCTAGACATCTCTCTCTGGACATGGGGTCATAGCAGCAGAAATAGCAGCAGCAGCAACAGCAGCAGCAGTGATAGCAACAGTAATAGCAGCAGCTACAGCAGCAGCAGTGACAGCCGCGGAAATGGCAGTTAGTAACTTGCAAAGGGGGGCCGTCCATGATGCATGATGACGGCTGCTGATGAGAACAGAGAGCTCAGAGAGCTACAGGTTTATGCAGAGGGCTTTCTGCCACGGGCTTTCTGCCACGGGCTGTGCCACTCTCGGCCAGGTGACTGCCTGCTGTGCAGACCACATCCTCTCTGCGAGCGTGAATATCACTATAATATGACGGTTATTAATGTGTTTCCCAGTCGCTGGCACAGGAATTCCTTTTTTGTCGCTTGCTGTATCGCGTTGTGTTCTGTCTCTGCACTGCAGCCAGGTCCTGGCAGGTTCTGGCAGGACCCGTCCTCCCGCCGTCCGCGTGTGCCCCTATTTGTTCTATGGCTGGGCCTTTTCCACGGTGGGTTACGTCAGTAAAAGCTTTAATCATCACCTATAGGCAACACTCCGTTGTAATAGGTAGGCACCGTCCCTACCTATCATACGAGAGTGTCGCCTGTAAATGACCAAAATTTTACTGGAATTCTAGTAGAAGTTAACATGACACGGTAGTGAACAACACGCGCGCGAAGTGATCACGTGCTGCTAGATGAAGTAACCTTACTTTTGTGGACCACACACATCAAGCTTTTGTGGTAGGGAACTAGATTAAGGGGGGTCAACCCAGCTTCGATTACCTGACCTGAGACAGAAGGTTAAGCGAGAGCGCGAACGCACGAAGCGCTTACACGCGTTTGGCGGCTAATGACTTCTGCCACATTCAAGCCGGACTTAATACTACGAATTTTGCTTTGTGGCAAGAGGACCTAGGAGCTCGGCATTGCAGTTACTGCAAGTGCGACATGGCGAGCAGCTCGTAGCGAATCCGAAGTGTGTACTGCATGTGGACGGCCATAAAGGCTTGGGCGGGCTCAGCATGGTCCTTCCCCGTAAAGATTGATCCCTAATTTTGATATTGTACTAGTGTGAAACGTGCGTGGATTGTGGAAAGGAGAGATGGCAGTGGTGCGGAACCTCCCTGTGCCATGCGGCCATGTGGCCTAGCGGTTTTCACAAATGAAAGCGTGCCCTAGCTAGGAGTACTTAGAGAAATTATAAAACAAACCAAGTAATACAACAGATTGCGAAGCTTAACAGTGTGCGCAGCAGAGGCGAATCGAGCAAGTGGGGATTACTGCATCGATAATCGGCAGTACAGGACATGATGAAGTACGCGCGGATTATAGGGTTAAAGGAGCTTTCTTGATCTATTAGTTAATAGTTTGTCCATATGTCCCAGCTTATCATGTAACATTACCAAGAACTCATGCTCTAGTTATACAAGAGCGCGCATAGGAATTCCTTGGAAAAGCATATTACAGAAATGACTGACATGCGCTCATAGGTAGGATTTCGGTAGTCACCAATCCGAATCTGTTCTTCGCTTCGTAAAACGGGCCTTCACTTGAAAGTTGTGGGGTACGCAAGGACCCGAACAGTCCGTTCAATTGGCGCCGAATGTAAGCTCGGTTTATGTGTCATATCATTTCTCAATGGCATGCAATCTTGGCAACGGGTTGCTGGAGTTAACCAGTGGCGTCTTGGTTATTGATGGGAGGCGTCCGTATGGCGCAGCTGGTCGCCTAGTGCAAAGGTGGCTTTGCACATAACTGGTTTCATCACCTCATAATTAGGCCTATCTACGTATCAAAGATATCCGCCCAAGGCGTCACAAATATCTGGTCCAGCTTTTTCACGTCGGGCACAGCTTCTGCACTGGACGTCGGCTGGAAAAGCCGCGGCTTTCAGCCGCCGCGGCTAAGGTGACTGCAGTTGGCGATACGCTTATGCCCACGCTGCTGCAGTTGGGACAAGCTGAAACAGCGAAATGGACATCCCAAAAGGGCCAGGAACTCTGGCAGCCCTCCAACAATAATAATAATCCTCGGAGTCGCCTAACGATTACGGAGGCCCTCACGCAGTCCCGGTGCTTCGGTAATGATACCTCCCTTGTCGCATTCAAACAGCAGGCCGACTGCCATGGCAGCGGCTACTATGTCCCAGGGCAGCCGAGTCGGACGGGATCTCCTAACCCACGGCCAGCGGCTCAGTGCTTATCAAGGGAGCGACCGTGGCCAGCCGCGCAACCCTGGCAGGCCATGTGCCGGGTCCCGTTCCCATTCCCGCTCCCGCTGCTTCTCTTCCTCCTCCTCCTCCTCCTCCTCCTGCCGCTCCTGCCGCTCAGCAGCGGCGCTGCACCTTGTCCCACGCCAATCTCTACCTGTACGGCGAATGATGTTGTACAATATGGTGCCTCAGCGTCCGCAAGCCCTGAACCGAAGGACCTTTCCGTCGCCAACGTCCTGGCGCTATCGGGCCCACCTGACTACAACGGGCCTCGCTGCCTTGCTGGGCCGCCCAATACGGCAGCGGACCGTTCGGCCGTATTTTTCCTCACCAACGACACCTTGGACCGCGCCCAGTCCCAAATCACCGTTAGCTTCGGCACCTCTGTTTACATGCGGCAGGTGTGCAGCCTGGAAAGGGTACGGATGTTGTACGGCAAGTGTACGGCTAACTCCCACATCGTCGCAACTGAACATCCCATGGAGACCAAATGATGCATGTAGCACGGCAACTGGTTCATGTAGTACGGCACTTGGTGCGTGTAGTACGGCAGCTGGTGCATGTGGTACGGCAGCTGGTGCATGTAGTACGCTGGTAGACAGTCGCCTTTCGCCACTACAGCGCCGCTTATTCCAACTGGCTCTGGCGTCACTCTTTCCAATCCAAGTATATTGTTTTTATATTCCAGCAACATATGTTCATTGGTAATTTTCACGACGGTGACTGCGGAGCTCGCTTTGTTAAAGTTAATCGTGTATCGCCATCATCGCCATTTCATACACCATGGCTCAGATCATTAAAACACACACACATACATACACACATACACACACACACACATACATACATACATACATACATACATACATACATACATACATACATACATACATACATACATACATACATACATACATACATACATACATACATACATATATAGGGTTTGGCACTACAGTAAGGCGCGACCATTGCCCCCGAGAGATTCCGGGATCGATACCCATTAGGGTCAAAGTCCTTCCGATGGTGGAAGGCATTGCGCCCCTAGTTGATGGACGGTGGTGACCTGGGGTAAAGTTAACCTGCGAGCCGACCAGGAACGGAGTTGGGCCGCTGTCGACCCGGCAGATTCCGTTGGATGCTGGTGGTGGGTGCGGAACCTGAGCGATCCACTGAGAAGTTGACTAGGGTGACTGGATGAGGGTGCCCCGAAATACTGGGGAAGGAAGGGTTTCGCAGGGTAGCTGCCGCGGGTGAAGATATACCCCCCTGTTTCACACATCATACATACATAGGTCAGTTGTTTTAAGTTGTTTTAAGGTGGTTGCAAGACGTCTTGTGGTGTCGAGCTCTCTTAGCCTTTCTCTCTTGGAGTTTTTTTTTTGGCCTGTTAGGTATATCAGGAGCCCTCCCCTGCCGGGACTGCCCTAACCGAATATTTGTTTGTTTGTTTCCCGTTTTCGTTGGTGGTGTTTTGGGGGGTTGTTTCAGAGAGCCTTTGATTTTGCCCTAGCTGAGACTTGTGGACTCGCTCTAGCGGGACCTGAGAGCCCTTCGTGGTGTTTTCACTGCAGCGCCATCCCCGGATGGAGGGGCAGCGGAATGGCTGCGTAGAGTGTTAGCAGTCTGAGTCGGGGTCGGGAGCACACAAGACTAACCGACTTGGGCTGTGTGCTCCCGACCCTTGCGCTGTGTTTCGGCTTCGGCCCCCGGCTCTCGCGGCCCACAGTGTAATCTAAGTCATACATACATACATACATACATACATACATACATACATACATACATACATACATACATACATACATACATACATACATACATACATACATACATACATACATACACACACACACACGCAAAGCGCGCTTCTCCCCATTTCCCCCCCCCTGCAGGTGGGGATTTTCGTGGTAAGCGCCCTAGAGGCCGTCAGCACTGACTCCGTGTTTGTCATTTACGACGACAGCAAGAGGTCGCCCGATAAGGTGTGCCGTACCGCTTATCTACCTACCTACCTGCATACCTGCTCAGCTGCCTGTCTGTTTGCCTGTCTCTCCGTATATCTACCTGCTTTCTAGTGTGTCAGATGGACGTGTCGTCTCCCCTTTCTGACTGAGACCATGGTGGATACGGTAGAACAGGGGTAAGGGGCTGCTAGACAGCCGGCTAGCTGCACAGCGTGTCGAGATGTTCCTGTGGGACGATACTTTGCGTCTTTGCAGCTAGACAGTCAACCAATCAGTGGACGATGTTCCTTGCACTGCCAGCTGCCGACTGGCATCCGCCAGCCCACCAGACAGCCAGCTGAGAGTGCATCTTGCAGGGGAACATACTTACTTACTTACTTACTTACTTACTTACTTACTTACTTACGTACTTACTTACGTACTTCCTTACTTACTTACTTACTTACTTACTTCCACCACCACACCATACCACACACCATCATAACATCCTAACATGTCCATTTGTTTACGCTCTTCGCCGTCGCCGGGGGAGCCGCTGGTGACCTTGAGAGTGTCGGGGGTTTGGGGGATTCGTTCCCTTCACCATCCGGCGGGAACCAGTTGACGAACAATCCCCTCTCGAAACTTCCAAAGTTTAACATGAGCATCTTACATCCAGCGCCCTTCATCCCATTTGTGGCTTGGACCCCCCTTCGTAATTGGCATGCGTGTGCGTGCGTATGTGTGTATGTGTTTCTCGGTACGGCACAGGTGCCCTGCAGCACGGACCGTACATCTCCCTGCCTGGGCTATTCGGCCTCCGAACGACCCTTCTGGATCTTGTGTAACACCACAGCGCTGTACGGCCCAACCAAGTCCGTACGGTTCAAGATGGATGCGACACTGGGCATTGATGCGGTCTACACGTCGCGCCAACGGCCGTGGCAATTCGCCGCCGCCGTCGCCGCCATTGGCCCTGGCCTCTCCACCGCCGTCGCCGCCACCGCCCCTGGCCTCTCCGCCACCGTCGCCGCCACCGCCCCTGATCTCTCCACCGCCGTCGCCGCTACCGCCCCTGGCCTCTCCGCCACCGTCGCCGCTACCGCCGCTGACCTCTCTGCCGCCCTCGCCGCCACCGCCCCTGACCTCTCCACCGCCGTCGCCGCTACCGCCCCTGGCCTCTCCGCTGCCGTCGCCGTCACCGATCCTATCCTCTCCGCCGTCGTCGCCGCCACCGCCCCGGACATCTCCGCCGCCGTTGCCGCCACCGCCCCTGGCCCCTCCGCCGCCGTCGCCGCCACCGCCGCTGGCCTCTCCGCCGCCGTCGCAGCTACCGCCGCTGGCCTCTCTGCCGCCGTCGCCGCCGCCACCGCCCCTGGCCTCTCCGCCACCGTCGCCGCCACCGCCCCTGACCTCTCCGCCGCCGTCGCCGCTACCGCCCCTGGCCTCTCCGCCGCCGTCGCCGCCACCGCCGCTGGCCTCTCCGCCGCCGTCGCCGCCACCGCCCCTGGCCTCTCCACCGCCACCGCCCCTATCTTCTCCACCGCCGTCACCGCTACCGCTCCTGGCGTCTCCACCGCCGTCGCTGCCACCGCCCCTGGCCCCTCCGCCCCGTCGCCGGTAGCTCTCCCGGCTCTCTCCGCCGTCGCCGCAAACAATATTGGAATCGCTGCCGCCGTCGTCGCCGCTAGCCGTACCGCCCGGCGCGTCGCCGTCACCTTTATCAGCGCCCCCTATTTTACCGTCGCCTCCGCTGTTGCCTCCGCTGTTGCCACCGCAAGCACCATCACCCTCACCATCGTTATCGCCAACGTCGCCGTCACCGTCACCTTCCGTGCCGCCTCCCTTGCCTCCGCCGCCGTCCTTGCCACCGCCGCCGCTGCTACCGCCGTCTCTGCCGCTGCCATCCGTACCCCCACCATCATTGCCAGCGTCGGCGCCGCCGCCGTCACTGCCTCCGGCGTCATTGCCTGCACCGTCAGTGCCTCCGCCGTTACCGTCCCCGCTGTCGCTGCCGGCGCCGTCACTGCCGCCGCCGTCGGTGCCTCAACAGGTGGCACCTCCACCGCTGTCATTGCCTCCGCCACCAGGACTCCCACCATCGGTTGTGCTGCCGTCACTGCCTCCGTCATCACTGCCTCCACCGTCAGTGCCTCCGCCGTCATTGCCTCCGCCGTCACTCCCTCCGCCATCATTGCCTCCGCCGTCACTGCCTCCGCCGTCACTGCCTCCGCCGTCACTGCCTCCGCCGTCACTGCCTCCGCCGTCACTGCCTCCGCCATCATTGCCTCCGCCGTCACTCCCTCCGCCATCACTGCCTCCGCCGTCACTGCCTCCGCCGTCACTGCCTCCGCCGTCACTGCCTCCGCCGTCACTGCCTCCGCCGTCACTGCCTCCGCCGTCACTGCCTCCGCCGTCACTGCCTCCGCCATCACTGCCTCCGCCGTCACTGCCTCCGCCGTCACTGCCTCCGCCGTCATTGCCTCCGCCGTCACTGCCTGCGCCGTCACTGCCTCCGCCGTCACTGCCTCCGCCATCACTCCCTCCGCCATTACTGCCTGCACCGTCACTGCCTCCGCCGTCACTGCCTGCGCCGTCACTGCCTCCGCCGTCACTGCCTCCGCCGTCACTGCCTCCGCCGTCACTGCCTCCGCCGTCACTGCCTCCGTCATCACTGCTTCCGCCGTCACTGCCTCCGCCGTCTCTGCCCCCGCCGTCACTGCCTCCGCCGTCATTGCCTCCGCCATCACTGCCTCCACCGTCACTGCCTCCGCCATCACTGCCTCCGCCATCATTGCCTCCGCCGTCACTGCCTCCGCCATCACTGCCTCCGCCGTCGGTGCCTCCGCCGTCACTGCCTCTGCCGTCACTGCCTCTGCCGTCACTGCCTCCGCCGTCACTGCCTCCGCCGTCACTGCCTGCACCGTCATTGCCTCCGCCGTCACTGCCTCCGCCGTCACTCCCGCCGCCATTACTGCCTGCACCGTCACTGCCTCCGCCGTCACTGCCTCCGCCGTCACTGCCTCCGCTGTCACTGCCTACGCCGTCACTGCCTCCGTCATCACTGCTTCCGCCGTCGTTGCCTCCGCCGTCACTGCCTCCGCCATCACTGCCTCCGCCGTCGGTGCCTCCGCCGTCACTGCCTCTGCCGTCACTGCCTCTGCCGTCACTGCCTCCGCCGTCACTGCCTCCGCCGTCACTGCCTGCACCGTCATTGCCTCCGCCGTCACTGCCTCCGCCGTCACTCCCGCCGCCATTACTGCCTGCACCGTCACTGCCTCCGCCGTCACTGCCTCCGCCGTCACTGCCTCCGCTGTCACTGCCTCCGCCGTCACTGCCTCCGCCGTCACTGCCTCCGCCGTCACTGCCTCCGCCGTCACTGCCTCCGCCGTCACTGCCTCTGCCGTCACTGCCTCCGCCGTCACTGCCTCCGCCGTCACTGCCTCCGCCGTCACTGCCTGCACCGTCATTGCCTCCGCCGTCACTGCCTCCGCCGTCACTCCCTCCGCCATTACTGCCTGCACCGTCACTGCCTCCGCCGTCACTGCCTCCGCCGTCACTGCCTCCGCTGTCACTGCCTACGCCGTCACTGCCTCCGTCATCACTGCTTCCGCCGTCGGTGCCTCCACCGTCACTGCCTCCGCCGTCACTGCCTCCGCCGTCACTGCCTCCGCCGTCACTGCCGCCGCCGTCACTGCCTGCGCCGTCACTGCCTCCGCTGTCACTGCCTCCGCCGTCACTGCCTCCGCCGTCACTGCCTCCGCCGTCACTGCCTCCGCCATCACTGCTTCCGCCGTCGGTGCCTCCGCCGTCTCTGCCTCCGCCGTCACTGCCTCCGCCGTCACCTCCGCCTCCATCACTGCCTCCACCGTCACCGCCTCCGCCGTCACTGCCTCCGCCATCGCCGCCTCCGCCGTCATTGCCTCCGCCGTCACTGCCTCCGCCGGCACTGCCTCCGCCATCACTGCCTGCGCCGTCACTGCCTCCGCCGTCACTGCCTCCGCCTTCATTGCCTCCGCCGTCACTGCCTGCACCGTCACTGCCTCCGCCGTCACTCCCTCCGCCATTACTGCCTGCACCGTCACTGCCTCCGCCGTCACTGCCTCCGCTGTCACTGCCTCCACCGTCACTGCCTCCGCCGTCACTGCCTCCGCCATCACTGCCTCCGCCATCACTGCCTCCGCCATCACTGCCTCCACCGTCACTGCCTCCGCCGTCGGTGCCTCCGCCGTCACTGCCTCCGCCGTCTCTGCCGCCGTCGTCACTGCCTGCACCGTCACTCCCTCCGCTGTCACTGCCTCCGCTGTCACTGCCTCCGCCGTCACTGCCTCCGCCGTCACTGCCTCCGTCATCACTGCTTCCGCCGTCGGTGCCTCCGCCGTCTCTGCCTCCGCCGTCACTGCCTCCGCCGTCACCTCCGCCTCCATCACTGCCTCCACCGTCACCGCCTCCGCCGTCACTGCCTCCGCCATCGCCGCCAGCATCATCCCCGCCGCCAGCATTGCCGCCGCCATCCCCTCCTCCTCTGCCGCCGCCGCCGCCACATCCTCCAGTCCCGCTGGTGACCCCGCCACCCCCCGTCCGGTCGCCCTCGGCTACTCCGGCGCCGAATATTCCCTTACCTGCATTCCCGATCCTGACGACCCCGTCGTTGCCGCCGCCGTCTCCACCGGCACCCCCGTCATTGCCACCGGCGACTGTATCCCCGTCGCTGCCGCCGTCGTCATTTAAACCCCCTTCTCAATCGTATGATCCGCCGTTAGCGGCGCCGTCGCCTCAGCCACTTGCGCCTCCTGCAGCTGTCCGGCGCCCGCCGCCACCACCACCGCCGCCATTCGCACCGGCCAGTCCCTCGCCGTCGTTGCCGCCACCGTCGGCATTACCCAGCACTCCGCCACTGTCGATGCCACAAACGTTACCTCCGCCTCCGCCGGCATCGCCCCCGCTAACACCCATCCCGTCTAACCGTACGGTACCGCCGTCACTGCTGGACACGTCAGGCGTGCCGTACGCTATCATGACGGTTACACGCGATTCAGTACTTGAGGGCCTGGAGATGTCCGACTCAACGCTGCTGACGGTGTTGTTTCCTGGCTCCAAGGTAGTACGGCCGCTGTCGTACACAGTCCGGGTGCCGCTGGCGATAGTGGCTGTCGGCGGCGGCGGCAGCGGGGCGGACGCCACGAAGGTGATTCCACAGGGTTTTCGTGGTGTGGGGATGAACGAAAGTGGATTCGAGGCAAATCCAAGCACGGCGCCTGGATCCAGGATCCATCAAAGTCCTCGCTCCATCCATCCGTCCACCCGTCCATCCAGCTCCTTCGTTTTGAATTCAAATAAATTTGATGTTGTTCGTGTTGACAACACGGGGCTGGCAGCACGTGTCGTACCTCAGTCGTACCTTCAGTCGTACGGTTCCTGTGTCTTTGGTCGAGGGGTGTCCGGTTAGTAACAGTGTCTGTCTGCGCCGGTTTCCATCCGGGGTAATGTTGTCCCTCCCCATCCTCACTCGTCCGTGGTTCATCTTCCCGCCCCGTCCTGCTCCTCGTAGGCCTGCGCCGCCGACTTCATGAAGTCCGTACGGCAGCAGTTTTTGACGTGGCTGCCCTTCAGCGGCACCAACTTGACGGCGGTGGCGTGTACAGCCAACACCTCCACATTCCTCAACCAGAGGATAAGCTCCGTTGCCGCTGCCGCCGCGGCGGCGGCAGCGGCTACAGCGCTGCCAAGCCACCGCCGTCAGATGCTGCTGGGGGAGCTGGCGGCGCTGCCGCCGCCGCCGCCGCCGGACGTCCATCCCGGCGTCAGCGGCAGCGGCAGCGCTGCCGCCGCCGGCGGCCAGACGGAGAAGCACTCAGTGGGTGCTTGCGCCGGTTCCACCAGTGCCACGATGATGTTTGAAGTAACCACGCCGGCACGCACCACGCCACCGCTATCAGGATCTGGCAGCAGCAGCAGCAGCGGTGGCAGTAGCAGCAGCAGCAGCAGTAGCAGCGTTAGCCCGTCTATCCTTACGGAGGTGTACAACAGCATGAAGTCCTGGCAGACTGCGCAAGAATCCTCATTGCCAAATGGTGTCACCGGGCAGCCCCAGCTGCTGGTTTGCAGCCCGGCGGCTGATGAGATCACCGTGTCAACCAAGGTGGGATCTATCGGGATTGAAGATATGGGGGCTTATCAGGGATTTTAGGGCTTTGCGTGGGGGTTTCACGGGAATCTTACATCGTGATAGTTTATGAAGTCTGTAAGTGTAGTTGTTGGAAAAGTGCGGCCTAAGTTCGAGCATTTGTTTCCTGAGTACACGGAACGGTCATGTGTGTCGCAAGAACTCCAGGGCGGGGAAGCAAGCCAGGATCGACACCAGGATTGTCTGGGACCGCGGCCCTGGCCATCTTGGGCCAATGAGCAATATCTTTTATTTTCCGCAGAATGTGCGATTCGAGCGGGGAACCTGTCGGGAGGACAGTGAACGGAGATTTAGAATCTAGGAGCTGCCAGATATAAACCGGCAGAGGCATCTGACGCGACGAAGCCACCTATTGTAAACTTCGTCGCACCTTTTCATCGCCTGTGTGCGTTCGTTCGTGTGGCTTATTTTGCCGTACACCAGGTACGAGTGACGTACGAGGTACCACTGAGCGCGGAGGGCGCGGCGGCGCTGGCAGCGGAATGCGCGGCGGGCAACAACGGCGCCTCTAGCGCTGACGGCGCCTCCAGCTGTAGCATCACGGTTCGGCCGGGAGCTGCAGCTGTGAGCCCTAGCGGAAGCAGCAGTACCGATGCCGTACAGGTACTTTGCTAGTGGCTATGGGCTATGGGGGAACTGGCCTGCTGGCTCTCTTTTAGGGGCAAATCAGGGTCTTTATGGGGGGCAATTTTGTAGAGGCGACCTATCGTTCGCGGCTCTTGTTGTACTACGTCCTCCCCTGCCACGAGTCTAGAGACTGCTTCTGCGTTCCCTCACTTGGCCGCCGTCGCAGAAGAGCGCGACCCTGCCCGCCGCCGTGGCGTCAGCCGTGGGTACGGCAGCCTTAGTGGCAGTCGCCTTTGGCGTCTACGCTGCGGTGCAGCGGCGGCGGCGGCGGCGGCGGCTACAACGGCCGGGGGATCCCGCCAACCGCGCGGTGTCCGCTGGCGGTAAGGAGGAGGTGGAGGACGAGGATGAGAAAACGGCGGCGGCGGCGTCCCGGGGCCCCTCCAGCTCGTACATGATTCGGGTAATGTCGAAGGCAATGCCTGGGGTGCATGATCTAGAGGAGGGCACACGTGTCGAATGGCCAACAGCATTTCCCACACCCCAGGGAGGGAGACGAGAGGGAGGGAGGGAGGGAAGGGGGGGTATGGGGCGGTTGCAGCTGAGGGACGTGGCCATGAGCGACTTCCCTCCTGCCTTGACAGGTGTACCTGCGTTGATGACACGGCGCGACCCATGAGCGTGTGCGTGTGCGTGTGTGTTTTTCTGCTTTCTTTTCCCCACCAACGTTATCTCATTGGGAATGTCCTCCTCCTGCTGCTGCCGCCGGGGCCAGGACTTGAACGGGAACCAGATGTCGTACACTGGCCGGGAGGTGTCGTACGTTGACGTAGCACCAGGCGGGCGGCTCTTTGGTCGGTGGGCAGATCCGCTGACCCCCCCTGCCGCCACCGCCGTACAGGCTGCTCGTCCCAAGGGGGACGGGTTGTCACCGTTCCTTTCAAGGCTTGGCGGCGGCGGCGGCGATGATGACGGCGACGATCGTGTGTGTGGTGGCGCCAACGGCGGCGGAAGCTGCGTTGACGAGGAAGACGACAACACAATGCACGTACTCCGTCTCTCCAATAGTGGTAGGCAGCTACAGCCGACGGCGACGGCGACGACGGCAGCGGCGACGGCAGTGGGGATGGCTCGGGGACCGCCGCCTGCTTGCAGCCCGGCGCAGCCGATCCGTGGGGTATCGAAAAGCCCAATCTTGCGAGCCATGAGTCATAACCAGCCAGCACGTGGCCGGGCACTCAGGCTGTACGAACAGGCGTACGGCGCGACCGCGGGTGTTGCCGGGCTAGCGGTGCAGCCGTCGCGGCCGCGACTGCACCCGCCACGCAACAACCTGCACTCCATGGCCGCTGTACGGGCCGCCGTACGGGCGAGCATGGGGGGCACGGGTGAGGCGGTGATGGCCGGTGGTGGCGGGGTAGGGAGCTGCGGCGGCAGCGGCGGTTGGAGGACTTTATCTGATGACGCTGGCTTGCCCGATGCTCGTACGGCCATCCCGGCGAACTGCACGCACGCGGCGGCGGCGCCACCACCGCCGCCGCCGCCGTGGGCCAGCGACGTCACAGACTACCTTGAAGTAGTCCCAATACTCTGTGAGGACGATGCCCCATTGCCGCTGTGGCTGCCACCGGCACCCATGCGGCTGCTGACGGAGCGTGCCGACGGTGCGGCCGACGGCAGCGGCCACGAAGCCAGCCCGCTGCCACACGTGCGACCCGTACGGGACGCCGAGGCGGATTGGACGAGCTTGGATGACTGGCAAGGCTTGGATGGCCAAGGTCAGATAGCTGGTCAGGCTCCGAACGCCGAGTTGAGTACAGGCCTGAGGACGGGTACGGCAGCCAGTGACACCGTCGCTGGGAGCACTTTGGAATTGTCGCCGCCGCCGCCGCCACAGCAAGAGTCCTGGCAGCAAAACCCCTTAAGCGAGCGGCTTTTCCGGCCGCGGAGTCGCATGGAGGGCGCGAGGCCTGTAACGCCGACAGATGCCGCTGAGTTTCAATCTCCCTCACCTTCTGGCACCAGCCTGGAGCTAGCGGCTGTAGGAACAGCCGCTGCAGCAGCAGCCGTTGCCGCCACCGCGGCCGCCGAGACCATCGGGGCAATCGTCGCCGCTGTGGAGGCACAGCGGAGCTGGGGCGGCGGCGGCGGCGACGGGGATAGCGTGTACGGCAAGGCGGCACTGTCACGGCCGTCGTCGCCGCGGTCATTGCTGGGACTCAAGCGGCTACCGTCACCGCGAGTGCATCCGTCACCCGCAGCTACGCCGGAGCGCGGCAGCAGCCCGCCTGAAGGGTGGAATCCACGAAAACCAGCTGTGGCGGCGGCGGCGCCGCCGCCGCCGCTGCCACCGCCGTCGTCGTCGTCGCGACCGTCGGCGGCCACCGGCGGCTCTGTATCTCAGAACAGCACCTGGAGGCAACTCCTGGCGGTTGCGGAGACGCTGACGTCGCTCGCCGGCAGCGCCACAAGCAGGATTACTGGCTTCGTGGCCAGCAGGCAGTGGTCGCGGCCAAGCAGCGGCAGCAGCGCCGGTGGCGGCTCTGACGCCGGCGGCGGCGGCGGCGGCGGCGGTGCCAGCAGCAGCAGCAGCAGCGCCAACAGGTTTGCGGCGCCTCCGGCCGCCGCCGCGTCCTTGCGTCCAAGCTCACGAAAAAGCAGCCTTGAACAACGGCCTGCCAATGGATCCGGACCTTCTGGACCCGCAGCCCTCGCCGCGGTTGTGGCGGCGGCCGCTGAGTGTCCCTATACCCCTATAGCCTCTACCGCCGCCATGACCGCGATGGACACCGCCGCTGCCGCCGCCGCCTCTGCTGACAAGCCAGCAGCGGTGGTGGCAGCGACGGTCACGGCTCTCCAAGGGACACCGGACGTTGCGAGTTCGGGGGTATGGGAAGTGGAAGACAGCTTTCCGCGGCGGCACTGGGAGCCGCAGCCTTTCCTAGCCGGCAGCACCTTTTCGGGACATGCTACAAACAGTCTGCTGCCACTGCCGCCTCGGGTCGGCATTGCTGCTGCCGGGGGGGCGACCACAGTGGCGGCAGCGGCGGCGGCGGCGGCTTGCGCGACACCGGCGCCCGCGCAGCCAATCACACGGGGCATGCGGTACCTGCGGACGCCGATGGGCCCGCAGCCGCCGTTCTTGGCGGCGGCAGCACGCGGGTCGCAGCACCAACACCAGCAGTTGCGTCAGCAGCTCCGGGCTTCCGCGGAGGTGGAAGTGGAGGAAGAGGAGGTGGTTGGGGACGTGGAGGAGGAAGGGGAAATAGAGGAGGCGGCAGTGCTGACGGCGTTGCTAGATCAAAGACGATTACGCTGGCGGCATCAGCAGCAGCAGCCGCAGCAGCACGGCCATCAGCAGCAGCAACAACAACAGCAGCCGCAGCAGTGCTCGCATAGCTGGTCGGGAAACGGCCCCAACTTGCGCTCCTGGGAGACGCAAAGGCAACGGCAGCAGGAGCAGCAGCAGGAGCAGCAGCAGGAGCAGCAGCAGGAGCAGCAGCAGGAGCAGCAGCAGGAGCAGCAGCAGCAGCAGCAGCCGGTGGTGGCACACCAGGTCCGGTGCGCCTCTGCCGACGCCGCCGTCCCCACGGCGCAGGGGCCCTCCTCACCTCGAGCGCCTCTGAACGCGGGGTGGCGCAGCTCCTTCAGCACCTCTAGGGTTGTGGGGCAACCCTGCGTGCTGTTGCGGCGGTCAGGCTTGTCCACCTTAGACTGGCAAGGATACGCACAAGGCACGGTGGAAACGGCATCGGCGGCGTCGGCGGCCGCTGATGACTGCAGTGGAGGTGGCGGCCATGTGCATAACGGTGCCACCGTGTCGAGCTTCGGTAGTCGGTTCGCATGGCAGTCACCGCGCAGCGGTGGTGGCAGCAGCGAGGGCAACGGCGACGGCGGCATTGACATCCGTGGCATCCCCGCCGCTGCCAATGTTGCTGAGGAGTCCCTTAGCAGCGGCCAGGATGAGGATGATGTGGACGAGCAGGAGGACTGCAGCGGCTCGGGAATCATACCCTGCACGATGCTGAAGGCGGCTGCGGCGCCGCCCCCGCCGCCGCTCCACATGGACACCTTGATGGGCGGCATCGGCGGCGGCGGCGACGGCGGCGGCGGCGGCGGCAACGGCGCGGCCATTCTTGCCAAGGCGGTCAGTGTCGCATCCATTGCCTCAACCTACTTCCCCGCGGGCGGTAGCCGCGGCGGCATCGTCGACGCTGCCGCCGCCGCCGCCGCACGTTCCAGTGTCCGTGGAGGCAGCGGTGATGGTAGCGGCGCCGGAGCCCCTCCGATCGTCACAGCGGGCCCAGCCACTGCAGACGCAGCCGGCGCTGCACGCGCGGCGAATTTCGCAAGTCGTATCCCACGGCATCACCTCCGTGGCATTCGCACCAGTACTAACGACAGCGGCAGAGCCGTAGCTGCAGCCGAAGCTGCTAGAATTAACGGTGGCAGCAGCAGCAGCAGTAGCAGGAGCAGTAGCAGCCGTCTACTCTTACCCCCGCCGCTGCAGCTCACCGTACAGCTTGCCCTACCTGGCGAAGTGCTCATCATCGAAGATGTAGCCATCGGGACCTTCCCGAACCTTACGGGCCCAGCCATCATGTTTCGCATTCGGTGCCGCAGGCCAGACAGTCGGCCCGGCGACTTGCCGTACAGTGCCTGGGTGCCGTACAGTCAACTCCCGCCTGGCGATGGTCACGAGGCGCTGCGGCGCTTCATGCAGACTGCCCGGTGGCGACGGTTCAAGTCCAGCAACCAGTACCTTCACTTTGCTCGAGTGCATCGCGACGGGGTACCCCGTCTAGTGACAATCGACGAAGAAGAACAGCGAGACGAGGAAGGAACTCTCGGAGCTCGGGACGGGGTACCGGTGGCATTGAAGGCTGGGTGAGCATTTGCGGTGTAGGGGGCTGTGGACTAGTAGTTATAACCTTTAGTGGCCTGCGAAGGAGGGCTGGAGCCTATGCGGTTTGGCCGTCGTGAAAGGGCAGGGTAAAAAACGCGCAGGAGCACTACGCAAACAAAACGCTCCTCGCGTGGCGCCAACTGCCAGCGATTAACGGCCAACAGACACAACGAAGCCATAACGGCATACCATGTGTAGAGGTGGGTTTGTAGCCCTAGCGAATCACCGTCCATCACAGCCCAAGCATGCTGACGAGGCATGAGGAAAAAGGAGGGGGCGGAAAGAGGATAAGGGCTGGCCGTGGTGGTAATGGCATATGGCACTCGACCCGGCCTGCGTGTCTACGTTTGCCAAGGTTATAGCATCCATCTCATGTATGCAGCATGCAGGTGCGCATGAAATGCTGATTTATTGCTCCCAGGGGGCGTTTGAAGAAGACAACTGTTGGGATAGCTATTTGGCAACTGCTGTTGTTAACAGATGTAGGGGGGTGGGGGAGGGCCGTAGGCTGGCGCCGCCGCCGTACGGACTGTTAGGTTAGGTTAGGTTAGGTAATAGGCTGCTGTCGTACTGAGCTTGACACACAGTAGGCGCGTACGGTAGATGACACTGCCCTTGCTAGGATTGCCCTAAGACGAACGCCACGCAGAGAACACCCTGCTCCTTACGCACGTATCTATGTATGTATGTATGTATGTATGTATGTATGTATGTATGTATGTATGTATGTATGTATGTATGTATGTATGTATGTATGTATGTATGTATGTATGTATGTATGTATGTATGTATGTATGTATGTATGTATGTATGTATGTATGTATGTATGTATGTATGTATGTATGTATGTATGCGTGTGGGGGACCACGACACGAGCCTCGTAATCGCGCAGTACCAGCCGCGCACTCCCCTAGCGGCGAGGTGAGGGAGGCTGTGTGTTGCTCGCGTGTGTGTGGGTTGGGGGGTTTGGGGAGGGGGTTGGAGGTCAGGGAGAGGGGTCACCCACCCTAGCGCCCTTACGCACCCCTCCCGCGTACCTCCAGCACCAGGCCACTAAGCTCGTCCAAGTCGTCGCCAACCGACCAAACTGTTTGGCGACGACATCCACAACTCCCATTTGAAACGCCCATGGCTGTTACCGTTACCATCGTTACCGTTACCGTTGTCGTTGCCCGTGGTGTGCGGCGGTACAATTGGCGGTTAGCGAAGCAACGTTGAACCGCAGCAGGAAATGTGGGTTGAGATAGAAAAGTTCTGCTGCCACGGCGCAGGATGGAGCTCACGCACGCTGCCATTTTGACCTCTGAGGGCGCGTTAACTTCCTGACAGTACATTAGCAGTACAGGTGTCTTTCGGAACGAGCAGGGGGACAGACCTGATGAGTTTTTGATTTGGAACTATACTTCAACGGACTGGTTATTTGTGAATTCCGTACACAATCACACCATCGCATGCCGTACACCCGAGTCGTACACCGCGAAACGCGAGGGTGGGCTTTGTACGGCGGCCTATGTGCTGTCGCGGATTCGTCATCGCACACCGTTACTTGACATTTATGAGGAATGCTAGAGCTAAAGCTGCTTTGCTAGACATTCTTTTGTTTCGCACGTGTTTTAAAAAAACACGTTTGTGTTTGTGTGTTTCGGGGGACAACGGATGCCAGGGGTCTACTTCAAACCAGGGGGCCCCGATCAGGCCTCCAACATAGATAGATAGGCTGCTTGCTACTGCTGCGTGACATTAGCACGGCACATGCGTTTGTACGGCCGTAGAATTGTAGCTCTTTAACGCGAGATATTTCATTCTTGGGTTGGCGCCAGTGCTAGTAGTTTTGAGCAAGTAGCGGTCGCACGAGCTTGAGGGAGCGCCTCGAGCAGGGCTGGGTGAGGCGGAGGTCCTTTGAGGGCTGTTTTGGGGGGGAAGGGTTCGGGCACCTTGCAGAGGGCTTCTCCCCTTCCGGTTGGGGCCCCCCCCCTCGTTGGGGCCCGCCTGCGCGGCATTATGCCGCGCAGGAAACAAAACCTTTTGTCTTAGGAGATCCATCATCATTACCATTGTTAGTCCAGGCGGACTTAGATAGAAATAAAATACAACGTAGATTTGCTGCTGTCGCCACTTTGCATTACAATTTTGATTGGCTGTAATAATAATTGTACGGGGGGCCCCCCGCTGCTGCTGCCGTACACTGGGAAGTGTATATGTCGGTTCCATCTCTGGTTTTTACGTTACACACGCGCGGTGATGGTGGTTGCTGTTATGATTTTGTAGTGCTGTGCCGTACTGCATCAAACGCCGTACGAGTACGGACACCTCTTTTTCTGGCCCAGATGGGTCGCGTGGTTCATGGTGTATGTCGCTGTATCGCAGGGAAAAAAACAACAGACAACAGTTCAGATTTTCGTTTGTGGCGCTTGCATGGAAATTGATAAAGAAATTTATGGGCCATTCTGCCTCACGCAGTCGGACCGGTGTGTATGGGCTCCGCCTGCTCAAGTTACGTAGATACCATTAGGAGCACAGTTACTAGACGCACGTGCAGTTTGGAGTTTGGAGTAGAGGATGCGGTATGTGGTCAATGGAGTTTTGTTTATACTTTCAAGGGCCCGAACTTGATGCACTCAGGCACGTTGGTGAGGCTGCATGTCTGAATGTGCCAAGCCGACCAGCAGCGGTGGCGGCGGTGGCAGTGGCAGCAGTGGCGACGGCGCGGGAACATTACAGGATGCAACGGAGAATACGGGTGCAATAGAGAGAGCGATGAATATTGCGTCCGAAAGGACTGAAAGAGCGCTGCACCGCTTTCAGGAGGGAATGGAACCCCTCTTTGGGGGGTGGGCATTCCTGGGGTTGACAAGGGGAAGGGATTACGCCAAGCTGGCGACGTGGGTGCGGATGGCGTTGTTCATACCCCGACCTAGGCAGACAGACAAGAACGTGCCCGTGCCCGTGCCCGTGCACATATTCACACGCATCCTGGAGCCGCGCCGGGAGCCGAAACATCCCTAACGACGGCCAGATATGAGCACATTCGGGACTCTAACTCTGATTAACGGACTGTCGGACTAACGAACGGATGAATGGACCGTGTGAAGGATGTGTGTGTGTGTGCGTGTGAGAGAGAGGGGGGAGGTGGCTGTGTTCGGGGTGAGCGTTGCTGCCTGGGCACCATGCCAAGCGTCTCGCACGGAAGTATGTATGTATGTATGTATGCGTGCTGCTTGGCCTGGCTTGACTTGGCCGCCGCGCCGGGCTTGATGGAGTGTGCGGAGGATGAAGACATCTGTTGAGGATTCTTGGACAAGACGTCGGGTTCCGTTAGTGTGAAAGTGGCGTCACTTGCACACATGAAGATGTGCTGGGACCCCGAGCCAGCCAGACAGCCAGCTGTTAAATCCAGGGCGATAGGAAATTGGGGATGTCTAGGTTTTCATGGTGACGGGCCGTAAGCTCAGATGCAGTGGAGATGGGTAGGCGGGTAAGATGGATATGCGGGGCGGGGAGGTACTGCTATTTGTCAGGGGACTGGGGGAAATGATGTTTGGAGGTGTTGCAGGGCCGTTTGGCATGGCCCTGCGCAAAGGAATGCCGCGTGCCGTGCGTTTGGGGGACCGACACAAGGGTTGCGGCGGTTACGCAGAGCGGGCAGGAAGCTGCCGGAGTAGGGTTGCCGTCGGGTGCTTATCAGGACAGGCGTCGCATGTCATAATTGCAGATGTGCTGCATGGCGGCCATACTCGTCGACAGCGTTGCGAATATCGGATAGATTTGCGAGTTAATTGAGAGCTATGTCCTTTGGAACGGTGTGATTCCTATATGCACGGAAGGCGATGGGTTTGAAGCGTCTAGCAAATGAATGCGTTTTTCTCCAAAGGCATGAACTCGGAAGTGGATGGTGGTCATTAATCGTTTGCTCAGTCTGCGAGGACGGCATCAGCCGGCTTCATTTAATGCGCAGAAAGAGAGCTCTAAAAGGTGCCTGGACTTGAAGTCAAAGGTAGTTTAGGAAGTGGCTATTCAGGAGCATTTATGTAAAGTTAGTGTATGATGTGCGCTCTATTCCCGAATCATGAAAATCTCAACCCGTAGCTCCTGTTGTTGGACTTGAACCTCTTGTAACCGCTTGCCGTATCGCGTACCTACCTCCCTGCCTGTCTTTGCATCCGTGGTTCGCCCCAAATCATGAAATGGACATATCAAGCATGTAAGCAAAGGATTTTTATTTTACGTTACGATATGCTGAAGAAACACTTAAGGAGGCTGCCAAAAGTTCGTCGAACTCGAGCGTTATGTTAGCTATGGAAGCTTTGCGCCTTTAGGCTACCAATGAATGACAAAATTGGCATGGGCTCCGAAGATTTCTTCCGCGAAGGCATGTTGCCTACTGCTGAAGTCAACCGCTTTGCTTCTGCTCCAGGGCTGCCAATCCGTTGCTCAAGGTGTCGTAACGGATGGTACCCATGGAAATACCTGTTTGCTACCGTAAGCATGCTTACAATCCTAAACGCGTACCGGTCCTGGTAAAGGTTTCTTCTCCACCTTTACGAAGAAGTTCCAAGGCTTTTCCCACAAATGAACCATATTATTTCTGAGTATAGCCTGCTGTAATCTTCCTCTATTAACTGCAAATAAAAATGGCTGCCGGGACCCCTGTAAACCCGCTGGAGAAATTCCCTGACTATACATTTCAAAAAGCACTTGGGACAGGAGCGTTTGGGTCTGTGCTCTTGTATAGACGACAACTTGCTCCTGGAGGGCCGTATGAGGTGCGGCTCGACATAACCAACCTGTCGGCGTCATGGAATGTGGTCGGGCCGCTTACATCGTTGGCGCGGCATACATCCAGGATGTCGCCGTCAAAGTAATTGCACGGGATGAATGTGCGGACTTTAACCTTGTTTCGCGAGAGGTTCACAGCCATCGCCAGCTTGTTCACCGTGAGTTCTCAACCTGGCACACCTTGCTCACCGTTGGCCTCCAGATTACCAGCAGAAATTTCTAATTCATGTCAGCGCATCTTGCAGCACATGTCATCCGGTTCAAGCGGCTGGGCTTAACACCGGACAGGCGATTTCTGTACATGGTAAGCGCATGGCCTCAACGGCCTGATTGCCTAACACAGGACCTCTCAAGGGAAGTCCTAACTGTACAAAGCTGGGCTGTACCATAGGAAATCCACCGGCGTATTGCCCTTCCGGTAGCTTACTAGCCTACTACATATGCGTAAAGTTGCCCAACTCCTCGCCCGCCCCCCTCTTTCCCCGATCTGGAGGCAGCTTCCTCCCCTCCACTACACCCCTGTTGCACCGCCTAGCGTCCCACCAGGACCAGCACCATGCTGCGAAATTCGTCGGATCTACGTGCCGAATTATGTCCGCGTACTTGTTTCATGGCATGACTCTTCGTGACCGAGGCTCGTTGCTATGAAACCGGAAGATTCGGCTGTTGGGCGCAGATCGCATCCCGGCGCTAGAACCAACAACAGCCTGGCCAACCTACCCAACCTACCAGACCCTCCCCAAAAAGACCCAAGCGGCCTCACATCCCCTTCCCAGCAGCCCCTAGATGCCCATGGCCACGAGCTCACTAGCTTTCTTTTCTTTTACTCTGTTCCCATCACTTTCTGATATCTCCCTTTCCTTGGTCTATCCTCCAGGTCCGTTCCCTCGCAGCGCTTTATGAATTCTTATTCACCCGTTACCTATCTATCCATCTATCTGTCTATCTACCTGCATACCTATGTATTCATCTATATGTGATTATAATAATATATATCGTCCCTGGGGCCCCCGGGCTTTGACGGACACCCCCTGCATTCATGCGGAACTTGTAAAAAACTTGTATATCTCTCACAACATATGTACCTACACATACGCACTCGCTGCCAGATTATGGAATATGCCGACCGAGGGGATCTTCTAGAATATCTGCGGAGACGAGGTCGCTTCCGGGAGCACGAGGCCCGCTGGTGAGGTGTTGGCGGCGTGTGAGGAGATGCCGCCGGGAGGGGGGGAGAGAAAGGCTTGGGGGCGGGGCGCCACGTACCCGGGCGGTTGGCCCAAACATCATTAAAGAACCAACCAAACAACCAACCAACCAACCGCCGACCTGTCAACCTGGCCCTGCATTTTCTTCCAGTGCTTAGGATTGCGACTTCTTCAAACCTGTACTTTTCGCGGTGCAGTTCAGTTAAAACGCCGAATGCCCAGTCAACCAACCAACCAACCAAGCTGATTCAATCCGGTCCTTGAATGAACGCTCGCTCCATAATAATCCCAAATCGTCACAGATGAACCCAGATCAAGCGAACCCAGATCGATTGATTAACGAAAACGAATCCGGTTTAAATCCTTCCAATGAAAGCTCCCAAATAATCTGATTTCGTAGTCATGCTCGGTGTATCGCTCTATCTGCCCCGCACTATCCTCCGCCTCCTGCCCTCCTGCCGCCCCGCGGGCGCCCCCCCCAACCGGTCAGGTTCTTCCAGCAGCTTGTTTTCGGTCTGGACTACTGCCACCAGCGGGGGGTGGTCAACCGCGACCTCAAGCCCGAGAACCTGCTCCTGAAGCGCACCCCAGACGCCCGCCAGGTGGGTCGTCTTGTACGGCTTGTACGGCTTTAACCAGCCGTACACATTCGGACGTACGAAGGGTAAAAGTGTTTCCTATCGTTGCCTCTATTGGCCGCTAGGGCCCCCCGCTTCATATTCGGGTTCCCCACCCCCAACAGACCCACCCCCCGCCTCCCACCGAACCACCCCCATCCCTAGGAGCTTAGCCAAGGGGATCTGGAGCACCCCTTCAACCTGCACCTCAAGATTGCGGACTTCGGCTTATCCAAGGAGGGAGTCCACTCGCTGCCTAAGAGCAGGGTGGGCACCGTCACCTACATGGCGCCCGAGGTGCTGAGGGCGGGCCCGTCGCGGCGGTACGACGGACACAAAGCGGGTGGGTTTGGGAGGGTGAGCTGAGGACGGAGGGTTAGGGTGGGGGGGATCTGGGTAGTGGCCGTGTCGCCGGAAGGAAGAGGAGAAGAAGCGGGCTCGGGGGTAGTTTTGCTCTATTAATATTGGTAGCAAATGCTAAGGGTATAAGTATAACTCGCGACTATTTTGAATGGTCAGACTGACTGATTGACGCGCGCGTTCGCCCCGCACTCTGATCACCCCCGCCCCCAAACCCGCGCACACACACACCTCTACACACACCTCTACACACACCTCTACACACACCTCTACACACACCTCTACACATACCTTTTCACACACCTTTTCACACACCTTTTCACACACCTTTTCACACACCTTTTCGCACACCTTTTCACATACCTTTTCACACACCTTTTCACACACCTTTCCACACACCTTTCCACACACCTCTACACACACCTCTACACACACCTCTACACACACCTCTACACACACCTCTACACACAACTCTACACACAACTCTACACACACCTTTTCACACACCTCTACACACACCTCTACACACACCTTTTCACACACCTCTACACACACCTCTACACACACCTCTACACACACCTCTACACACACCTACCCCCCCCCTCGCCGTTGCGTTCGTGCGTGCAGATATCTGGTCTGCCGGCATCGTACTGTACGTGATGCTGTTTGCGCGGGCGCCCTTTGACGATCCGCTCGCCACGAACGACAAGGCCCGGCGGGACGCGACGATGCAGCAAATCCTGCGTGGCGAATGGTCCGCCCCGGCCTCCCTGCCCGTGACCCCCGAGTGCTTGGACTTGCTACGGGGCATATTGTCCGCAGACCCTGCCGCGCGCCTGTCCATGACCCAGATCATGGGCCACTCCTGGTTCGCAGTGGGCCTCCCGCCCGCCGCGCTGACAATGAACACCGTACTTGTACGACAACAGACTGCGCAGGCACCGCCGTACGAGCAGAGCGTGGAGGAGGTGAATGCGGTGTTGGCGGAGGCGCAGCGCAAGGGGGCCCCCGCGGGACCTGGCGGCGGTGGAGGCGGAGGTGTTGGAGAGATGACGGATTCGGGCTTTATGACCATGGTGAGTGGTGCGTGGGAGATGATGAGGTGGGGTGTTGTCCGGGGGAGGAGGAATTTGGGGGATTTCCGAGGGGTCTAGGGGGTCTTTAGTTTTGGTAAATTTTGGGGGGAAGGAGAGGAAATAAGGTCCGTGTCAGGGTTTCATGGGCTGGTCGAAGGGTAGAGCAAGGGGGGAAGGGAGTTTAGTAGGGTTTTGAGGAGCAGTACCTAGTTCTTGTCGTGTCAACATTCGGTCATCAGTAACCGGTATTAAGGTTGTGACACGTGGGGGTTAGCAACGCACGCACACACACACACAACAGCTAGCGACCCGTACTCGCCTCGCCGTCGTATTACTACTAACACCAACAACACACCCTCGGGGGCTACGCGACTAAACACATCCCGACTACTACGACTCACTTTGACCCCGTCACCCCGAATCCCCGCCGCTCCGCTCGCTTGACTGTCGTACCGCGCCCACTCCCAATGTACGGCATCGGTACGGCACTCATGCGGCAGATCGAGGACGAGCTGGAAGAGGAGCAACGGCGCGGCAACAACCCCTATATGGTGGAACCGTATCCGCACGGGGCTCCGCCGGGGGCCGCGGGGGTGGGTGCGATGCGGAGGTGATGTGAAAGGCGGTGCGGTTGGGGTTGGGAAGGGGGGGGGGCCCGGAAGGGTCAAACTGGAGTGAAGTGAGGTGGGGTGAGGGTATTTATTTACACGCATCCCCAGGCTCCAGGCTCCCGGCCAAGGCCAGCAGATTTACTGCGGTGCGGCTATGGGTAGGGTGGGCTGGGGGTTTTGGTGGATGGGGTGGGGTGGGGTTTCGTCATGCGCCGTGGCTCATGCTGGGCCGTGGCGGGAAAGGGGTATAGATTGGTGGAGGCACCGGAGGGGGACGAGGGAGGGAAGCAGCAGGCGAATGGCGGAGGAGGATGGGGGTTTACAGTGTGGGTGTGGGAGGAGGGACGGGAAGGCGGCCGGGAAGGGTGGGGGGCGTTTGGGCCTCTGTCTTTCGCTAATCCTTGTGTGGGTATGGAGCTGGGAGTGCAGGAGGTGGATGGGGAAAATGTATGTGTGTGTGTAACATCGGAGCCCGTTAGGATGAGGATATAACGGACGATTGCGGTCAACAACACGCTGTTTGATTGCGGGGGGGGGGTGCTCTGGCGCGGGGTTGCGGGTTGCGTTGTTCAGGGTTGAAGAAATTCGACCATGAAGCAACCTGGCTGGCTGCTGGGATCCCAGGTGCCCGCGGCTGTACTGGCGGGGGTGGCTGTGGTAGCTGTGTGGGCGGGGCAGCCACCTTTAGTCTGGGTATGCCAGCGGCGAATGATTGAAGGAGGGGTTCGCGAATGCGATCTGGGGCGATGCTGATGGGGTGTGGGGGGGGTGGGGGCAGGCCGGGGCTGGGGACCGGTATAGAAAAGTTCATGATGAGATATATTAAGGACGCACGAGCTTCAAACCGGCTTGCGGAATCCAACAAACAAACTAGCTATTGAACAGTGTACGGCGCCATTTTTCAATGGCACATGCCGCACTCGCTCGCTTGAGAGACAGAGAACGAGAGAGAGAGGGGGAGCTTTCTTGCTGGTCCCGATTACAACAAATGGCAAACGCGGCTATGAACGAGGTCTGGACATGCCAAAAGGCGCAGTGTCCGGCGTGCAAAGAATGGCTTAGGGGTTTTCGGCACACGAAGCGGGAGGCGAGGGGGGTGTTAGGGGTTTAGGGGCTCTGGAAGGGGAGGTGTCGGGGCTAGGGAGGAAGGCCGACTGGCCAGCGCGCGTTAGGGGCCGTAGCGCGCGGTGCGGTGCGGTGCGGTGCGGCGCGGCACATGGAAGTCAGGAGCTCTGCTGACTTGCAGCCGCCGCCTCCACCACACAGCTCTCCAGGGGGGAAGCTTGGCTGATAATGCGGCACACAGGCGCATGGAACTGCGGTTTTGGAATTCCCCACTCTCCCCCGCGACGTGTGCATGGCATGTGTGTAGACCCAACATCATCACCACCACAATCATCATCATGATCATGATCATCATCATCATTCCTCTCCGTATGCACGATTTCACAGCCCATCTTCTTTGCGCTGCACGTGAACGTGTGCGATGTTAAGGGAACGTTGTTCGGGCCCCAGTACGAATATTGCCACGTTGTTGTGTACCGTCCAAGGCCGCGGGAGTGCCATTGCTTGCGGCTGCGGTGCGCGGTGCGCTTGGACTTTTTTAGAGTACGAAGGGTTTTGGATTGTAAAGGACTGTAGCTCCAGTTGAAGGCGCTGGAGCAGTTGTCATTTCCAGCATGTATTGGCGACGTGGCGAAGGGCAGGTCCTTGGACGACACGTTTTTCCATTTGCATGGAGCCGTTCTTTTCGATTAAGTTGTAGGCCCCTTTCCTGGAGCAGCCGTGAATGGCCTGCACCGGGGACCAGCTGCTAACAGTACCTACTGTCACGCTGTGTGAAAAGCGTTGATGGCTGTAACTTTGGAGGTGCTCTCGAAAGCAGAGCAAGAGAACACTTAGGTAAATAATAAATGAAAAATTATCGTATAAGCAGGAAGTGCAAAGACGAATTTGGAGGTCAAGCACACAGACACACAGACACCACACACACACACACACACACACACACACTAATGACGGCGCCTTGCGTTGATAAGGGAGAACGTTTAGGACCCTGACCGATATAACGCCTCTCTAATCATGGAATGCTTCGGCGGTCGTTCCCGACGGGGCACGGTTAGGTGCCCCTGGCCAGCGCCAGGCCCTGATGTAACAGACCCACACACACACATGCACACAGCCTTTGCCTCGAGTCAACCGAAGGTTGTGGCAAGCTGGGGCTACAGGCTGGCCCCGGACTTGTGTGGAATTTGTAATTGGTACGTGGGGTCAAGGAGAAGGTGTATGAGCCTACTGTGCTCATTGCGAAGCCGGCGAACTTGGAGACTTGGCACACCTATCTTATTTGGATTTTATGTCATTAATGAACCCGTGCACAGGGATACTGAAGCGTAGACAGCATGCTGCGAAAATTCTAAAGTTTGATGCCGTACAGTTTCAAGCGGGCACTACGCGTACAATACTGCAAATGGTAGGATTTATGACTGTGGAATGTGCATGGAGGCGGGTTGTAAAGTTAATCTGTTCCACGCTGTGTGCCTTTCCTCCTACAGCCCCAGGATGTGTGCCCAAAGGAAGGGATTCTATCCTTCCACGATACAGATCCGTTATGGTGCTATCGATTTGTAATTTGGAGGTTTGATTAAGCAGCCCCTCGCACAAATGTGTCCGGTCGTACTTCGCGAATAGAGACTCCGTACATCTCGTCCCAAAAGTCAGGAGCGAATTTTGCCGCGCAGATGCGCGCGTGCGATTCTCAAAATGCGCCTGTACAAGTGTATATAAATTTTCTTGGCGGATGAGGACGAGGTGCGCCAGCGCGTTGCGCAGGTGGGCATGTTGGCCATAGCCGCACGCTGGACTATTGCGTGGATGCTTTGCAGTAACTAAAAGCACCGAAAGCCAACGTCGTAGCTTGCAACTCTGGGCTCTTGAAACTGCCGCGGAAGATGAAGCGCTGGCGAAGAGGCAGTTGTATGCAGCACCTTGTTCAGAGTAAAGTGAAATTACAAAGTTGCGCAAAGTATAACATACATAAACTTAATTAAACATAAGAACAGATAAGACGTTTAGAGCCTTGTCGGTGACAAGGACGCCGCTGTTGGCTTGGAACAGCTATTTGCTGTGCATAGGGACGTGCCCGCGTTAGCCGTGTTGCAACAGCTCAGGATGGATTTCAGCCAGCAACAGCCTCAAGAGCTGCTGCACAACCACCGGGAATGTCTTCAGTTGGGCACGTGTAATTTTGGTCGGCGGGGTCGAGCAACGTACGCAATGCGCACAGAAACCAAGGTGCAGCGTTCTGTAACATCGCCAACATATCCGGTAGGCGGTGGCAGGCTTGCCGAGCACGAAATGAAGGGGGGGTCGCATCTCACCATTCAACTAAGCATGCATGTGCTCGGTTGAATGCTCGGTAGCGTGCGAGTTTACCCCTATCAGGATGTTTGTTTGCATATCCCTCCAAGCGAGAGGGCTTGGACCTATGCTGATGTTCGTTCCAAGAAGTGAACTGAGGACTGATGCTACGGTGAAAGATTTGCACGTAAATTCGCCCGTGCAGTAAAACGCCCTGTAACTCGCTTACGCTAATCTCACATTCCAATATGCCACTGCACTTTCCTCTCCAGCCTGGCCACATTCTCTTCCTCGCAAACGTACTTGGGCAAGTTACAATCCAACACCATACGGGCTTTGGAAACGCGGGCAGCTGCTTCACAAGGACCTCCCTATTTTGATGGCATAACACTGCAAGGCACCGAGAACACCTACCCATAGTTTCACGACAAGAAGGTACAAGGTTCTGGAGCCGATAACTCCTACAGTTTGCATTCGTTCGCATACTGATACTATTCCAGAACAGTAGTCTGCTCTTCATCACGACGTGTTCACGTCGGGGTGATCGGCTTATATGCTAAGGCTGATGTTGATAGAATTTTAAGTCTCGTCGCTCACCACTCCACAAGTAAAATGTAAGGATGGCTACGAACGGGACAAGTTATGATCCCCTCATAGGAGAACACCTCCTTAGGAAAGTTAGAGACCTTGGTTCCGGTTCCTTTGGTCACGTCGGTCTTTACCAGCGGCACGGCCATGGCGTTCCACCGGAGGAAGTGGCCATAAAATGCCTCCCTGTTCGGGTCGTGGACTACACGATGGTGAAGCGGGAGGTTCGCAGTCACTGCTCTCTTAACCATCGTAAGCGCCACTGTGGTTGGCAGGGTTTCCTGCGTGGAAACGACCCACGCGATGCTCCTTGCTTGTTAAACCTATTGCTATGCTTCTTGCCTCTGAAGGCTGCAATTAAAAACTTGTCTGTCCTGTGTGTGCCTTCTC